GGGTGATGATGGGAACTGAGGAAGTGCTGATCCAGGGTGGAAATGTCTCTGTGGACCTGCATCTGGTACCTGATGGGGAGTCTCAGCTGCTCCCTGGTAAGGGACAGTCTGCCCACACCAGGGCAGGGCTCAGAAGGGGCAGTTGGGGACTGAGTCCACTGCTTCCTCCCTGATCCCCGCTGCTATTGGGAGACATTTGGAAGTGGGGGAGCCAGCAGAGGAGCCAGAGGTCATGGACCTAGTTCCCCACCCCACCCCTGCAACCCACCCCCTACACAATGTGACCTTGGGCAACTACCTCTACTTAACCACTTAACCTCTCTGAGCCTCAGTTTCCCCACCTGCCTCCCACAGTGTTGTAAGGGTTTCATGCTAATAGATAAGGGTTTCATGCCTACCAGAACTTTTGTCCTGGTTGGAGTGCATGGAGTGAGGTGGGAGTGTTTAGTGTGTGTGTGCGCGCACACATGTTTTGTAGTTTACTCTAAAGAGAACGTCCACTGCATTTATGAACTTCTCAAAGAGGGCTGTGATGGAAAACCAATCGCATCTGTTTAAAGGGTATAAAGTGCAGAGCTCTCTAGAATTGTAAGAATGCTTCCTTTCCTCCCTTCCCTGGGCAGTCTGAGCCCTGCTGTGATGGTGGGAGGGGTGGGGCGTGTGAACCCCTCCCTAACCCCCTCCTGCCCAGGGCTGAGTCTGCAGTGGCAAGGGGACTGGCTGGTGCTGTCAGGGGGCATGGGGTTGTTGTGCAGCTAGACAGGTCCAGTTCGATCTCCATTTCCATGGATCACGAGCTCCAGGGACAGACTCAAGGCCTCTGTACAATGGCCGGCCTGAGGGTAAGTGGGGCATGGCGTGGTTGCTGGTATTGGAGGCTAGGGGAGACCCAAGACCCCAGACATAGCACCTCTGTCTCACCCTCCCTCAGATGACTAATTGGGCCCAGGTGGGGGGGATGGCTGTGTTAGCTGCCACCTTTGGGAATTCCGGGAGGCTCCCTGACTCAGAGGTGAGGCTGCAGCCCTCAGGGAGCCTGGGCTCCCTTGCTCCCTGCCTGTCCGCCCACTCCTGGCTTGTCTGACATCTCCAAGCTGCTGTCCTGTTTCTGTCGAGTGATGAGGCCTGGTCCTCTCCCAGATCTTCAGGGAAAGAAAGATGGGCTTAAGGTCCCATAGGAGCTCAGTGCCAGGTGCTGCCTGCAGCCCCAGCTGCCTGCATGAACTGACAACCCAGGGGACACATTCACTGATCTAGTCACTGACCAGCTTTGGTTAATTAGCTAGTTATCAGGTCTCCTGCCTATGAGTTGACATTGACCCCAGATGCCCTGCCCCCTACCTGGGCTTGCTACTTTGTTGCCTCCCTACCCTCCCTACCCCAACCCCGGGATGCCTGGGCTGCTGGTCATGACAGTGGGGCCTTGAAGCAGCTATGAGGTCAGTAGCCATTTTCCTGGTGTCCTTGTTAATGTGCCTCCTCTCTGCCCCTTGGCCTGACTCCAATTGTCCCCAGCCTGGGTGTCTGGATGCAGTGGAGGCAGCCCAGGGCTATGAGGACCCCTGAAGGGCACAGAGGCAGGCATGGAGGCTGGCCAGCTGCAGACTGAAGCCCAGGATGTGTGCCACCAGCTGCTGGATGGTCCCTTCAGGGAATGATGCCATGCCCAGGTATGGGTGGGGTGGAGGTGGTGTCTGGCATTGGCACAGCAGGGGCCAGAAGGAGGGAGTGTGAGGAAGGCGCCAAAGTGGGGATCTGGGCCTGCCACTAGATTGCTTTGGGCAGTTGGTCAAGCCACTGTCCTCTCTGTCCTCGGTTTATCTTTGGGAAATGAGGCGGCTCATGTGTATGATCTCTGAGTTCCCTTCCTGACCTCATCTGTGTGACAATAAACCAGGGCAAGATAGACACAAGAGGAGGGAGGTGCTGGTGAGTGCTGGAGGAGGAGGTTGGTTGGCTGAGGGACTGTCCTTTCTTGGGAGGTGCCCCCTACTGAGTACCAGGAGGCCTGCCTCTTTGCCTACTGTGCTGGGGCCCCAGTGGGCAGTGGGGGAGACGGCCGGCAGGAAGCCGTGTGTACCACCCTGGCCAACTATGCCCAGGACTGTGCCAAGCAGGACATCCCCCTGCGCTGGAGGAAGCCTGGCTTCTGCGGTCGGGCTCCTGCCTGTCTCTCGTCACCTTTCCACCCTACGGAATTGGGAATCGAGGGAGGGCCCTCCTGTGGCTATTTCTGAGCGTTCCCACTGACCGCCCTCCCTAATGGCTGCTGCGTGGCCTCCAGGCCTTTTAGGGGCAGAGGGATCTGGCAGGACCAGGGGAGCTCCTTGACCTCACAGCCCACTCCTGTGTCCGCAGAGCGCCTGTGCCTGAGAGGCCAGTTGTACACTGACTGCTCCGCTGTGGGTGTAGGAGGCGAGGAGTCTTGCAGGGAAGACGGCGTGAGCGGCTGTGAATGCCCGCCAGGCCTCTTCTGGGACGCTCGCTGTGCGCCTGCCGCCCGTTGCCCCGGCTACCTCCAACGCCAGCGCTACGCCCCCAGTGACAGAGTGCACCAGCTGTGCAACCCGTGATGGATCCGCAGACCTTGCTGGCCCGTTTGCTGGAGTTGGAGGCGCCCGGTCCCCTCTGTTCCCCCGCCCTCCCCCCATGCTGTCTCCTCAACCTGCCTCCCCTTATGGGGTCCCCCTCACAAGTGGCCTGTGACCTCTCAATACATAATGGATGACCCTGCTTAACAATCTACATCTGCTGACCACCAGCACCAGGGGCTTGCGAGGCGGAAGGTCATCTCCAGCTCAGCATGCCCCAGCCCCCGCGGGGGGCTGACCCAGAGTGCGAGTGCGCCCACAGCGTGGGTCAGGACGGCTGCTGGCTCTGCGCAGGCGCCGTGCCTGGCCGAGTGCATGGTGGGCGGGGACGGGCACTACCTCACCTTCGATGGGCGGAGCTTCTCCTTCCGCCGCAGCCCAGGTTGCCGCTCCAGCCTGGTGCAGGTGAGCAGAGGATTAACTCGCTGGGGGAGCGGGGTGAACTTGCCGGAGCAGAGGCCCTCGTAGAGCTGCTGTGGGTGAAAGGTGACTGAAGAAACCACTAAATAAATGAACAATACACACGCATTCGTCCAGGGGAAAGCCGGGGGAGAACCGAACCTGTAGAGTGTATGGCTGCAGCAGACTCCCCCCTCACCAAGCCTCCCTGTTGGGCTCTCACCTCCTCCTTAGGTTCCCAGGAAAGTCCCGCCGTTGTCACCACCCCAGCTCTGGGGCACAAAAGAAAACCCGTCCTCCCAGTCCTTTCTCATAGATGGGACAGGCTGGGTTTGTCACAGGCTACTTTGTACAAAACAACCCCAGGGCCAGTAAGGGTCCTCCTTCTTCTCCAGTGTCCCCCAGTAAAATTAGGTGACTTCCCAAGTTCAGGCCTAGGCATATTCTTCCAGAGACACAGGCGTATACACATGATCCACACTCATGCATGTGCACATACATTTAGCATATATGTACGCACAGACACACCTAGATGTAAGCATACATACACCCACGGGGAGGAAAGACGGGAGCCGTCTCCACCCAACATGCAGACATGCATGTACATACACACACACACATTGGCACGTGCCAACGCTTGAGAGTGCTGAGCCCTTACCTCACAGAGTCTGGCTGGCTGGAAGGTGGTCAGCACACATTGGGTGGGAGCTTCCTCCAGGTGTGTGCTGTAGATGTCCTGTAGCACCAGCTGTGCTCAGGTCTGCCCCACCCCCACCCCACCCCATTTCTCACCATCTGCCCCAGGACTTCGCCAAGGGACAGCTGCTGATCGCACTGGAGCATGGGGCCTGCGACTCTGGGAGCTGCCTCCACGCCATCTCTGTCTCCCTGGTGGACACCCATGTCCAGCTCAGGGACTCAGCTCTCAGGTAGCCTCTGCTCCCAGCAGCCCTCAGGACTGTGTCTCAGGCCCTACTGGTCTGCGGACACTGCTCTTCTCCCTGTGGACTCTGGCTCAGTCCCACACCTTCTGCCCACACTACCCTGTGGTTTCTGAGCCCAAACCTCCCCTCAAACTTCCGCAACCAAGCTCACTGCCTCCATTTCCTCTCACCTTCCCTTCCCATCTCTGAAGCAGACACCCAGTCCTGTGGACATTTTCCAAGGCATGTTTTGCCTCATCCTGAGGGGGAAATGCAAGCTGTATAGTTGTGAGAGGTGGGACAGGCCTCAGGACAGAACCAGACCAATCAGGCCCCTCCCAGCTCTTCACCCACAGTCCCTCCCACTGTCTCTCCCTGTGTGTGCTCCTCCTATGCACTGACTCCAAAGGCAAAGTGGGTACTGAGGGTGGCCTTTAGGCCATGTGGGGGGTGCTCAGAGGGAACAAGTGACTTCCGGGGGTCATCCGGTTCCTCTTGCTCAGTGTGGGCGGTCCACTGTAACACAGGCCCTTCCACCTCCCACCCAAGGTTCTTCCCCTTTTCGCAGCCCCATCCTGTGATGTGCTCTCCCCTTACCCTCATCAGCCCAGCCTTGCCCTGTGAGGCAGCCCCCTCATCAGTCCCCTATTCCAGGAGCTGTCCTGGTTGACGGCCAAGATGTGAGCCTGCCCTGGAGTGGCCCTGTGGGCCTCAGCATCTCCAGAGCCTCCTCCACCTTCCTGCTACTATGCTGGCCTGGGGCTCAGGTCCTCTGGGGAGAGGGGGTGTCTGACCCTGCAGCCTACATCACCCTGCAGCCTACATCACGTCATGCCATCAGGTGTGCTGGGCGGGGAGAGTGAGTGGCTGGGCGAGGCTACAGCAGGCCTGGGTTTGACTCCCACGCCCACTCAGGTGGCCCAGGTGCAGGGTCTGTGTGGCACCTTCACCTGGAACCAGCAGGAAGACTTCCTGACACCCGCTGGTGATGTGGAGACCAGCATTGCTGCCTTCATTAGCAAGTTCCAGCTGGCAGGCCAGGGGGAGGTGCTCCTCAGAGGACAATGCCCCGCTTTCCCGCTGCAGGACCCACACTCAGCTCCACGTTTTCGCAGAGACCACTTGTGCCATCCTGCATAGCCCAACTGTCCAGGTAGCCAGTTGGGGGTGCTCCTCCTTTATGCACCTGTAAGATGGGCTCAATACCTGCTCTGCCCTCCTTCCCAGCTATTGGGAAAGCACTGTTCCCTGCTGTGGCAGGCTGCTGAGCATAGGTAGGTGGCAGTGGGGACAAGAGAGGATGAGGGAATGCTGGGGGAGGAGCTGTCCCATTTTATCATCTCCCCCAAGGAGTGCCACAGCATCTGGAGGAGGGTGGAAGGGTGGGAGAAGGGCTTGGTGGCTGCAGAGGTGGCCAGGTATGGACTCACACGCACCCAAGAGGGTGGTTCAGCATGGCTCCATGGTGCCAGGCTTGGGCCCTGCGAATACCAGAGTGAATGAGATACTGCCTGGCCTGGAGGGGTAGGTGTCTGTAAGGAATAGTCATGGCCATTTGACTTATGGGAAGACTGAGGCTCAGATAGTGACGCGATTTATGATGGAACTAGAGCCTGGAGAGGGGTTTCTAACTCCTCTTCTAGTTACCTCTGCTTCCCTTTCCTGAATATAATCCCCTACTTGGAATTCACTGACTTCCTCGCAGAAACCCTGAAACACCCAACATTCACAGGCGACACCAGGTTCTGCCAGCAGAGGGCGCGCTAACCCCGTTCCCTCTTTTTTGTTTGTTTGGTGTGTGTTTTTTTTTTTTCGTTTTCCTTTACTTCTACGTCATTTCATTTTCTTCCTTCTTCATCTTCCTTTTTATTTACTATTCCCTGGTCCCTCCTCCAATTCCTTCCTTTATTTTTCCTCCCCTTGCCCCTTTCTTTTTTGCTTTTGCTTTCAGATTCTTTTTCTGGAAATTCCACGTATTTGACAAGAGGCCTTTAAAACATTTATTGGAGAAAAGCAAAAGGGAAGAAAAGTGTACGGTCTCCTTCCCAGGAGACTCAAGTTAGGATCTGCTCTTTCTAAATTGCTTCTTCTTGGCCCTGGAGACTCAGAGTCATTTTCAAACAGTGTTCAATAAATACAAATGGAATAAAATGTATGAGAAGGTGACTCCTTGATAAAACTGTGGGACCAAGGGCAACATGGTGCCGGAGTATCAGGGGGCTCACGGAGGGTGTAATTCTCCTCCTGGTGAGAACCCTGAATCATGTATGTACTTCACATGGGACGTGGGCAACTGGCTTTACTTCACAGACCCTCGGTTTGGTTTCGGTTCTGTGCGGTCCACGGTGGCCCCAGCTGCCTGCCCCTGGAGCGGGTACACAGAGCTCCAGCCTCAGGGGCTGAACTGTGGCTGTGATGAACCCTCTATCCGCAGCACCTGTGTCTCTGGTGAGATGGTGTGCACCTCGGAGTGCACCTGCCCAGGTACCTCCATGCTCGGGGCTCAGGAATTGGCAGTGGTGGGTACTCAGGGACCATAGGGGATGCAGACCCCTTCAGAGATCAACCCCCTAGGGTTTCTTCAGTGGTGGCTCAGGGAAGTGGGTTCCCAGAACAACTTAACCGGATTTCAGACCTACTGTGCCCCTCCCCCCACGCCCTCCCTGGAAGTGGTCTGTGGCTGGAGCCCCTGGACCCCGTGGAGCCTCTGCAGCTGCAGCTGTGACGTGGGCATCCGGCGGCGCTTCTGGGCGGCCACTGCGCCCCCAGCTGCCCTGGGGGGAGGGGGCTGCGTGCTAGGGCCCAATATGGAGGCTGAATTCTGCAGCTTGCGGCCATGTCAAGGTGAGAGCTGGGACTGAGGTCCTCAGAAGCCTCCAGAGAGCAGCTAAGAACACTCCCAGTCACCACCCCCACCCCAACTCCGGACCCCAGGAGAGGTGTAAGGGCCTTCCCTAAGAGATGCCACTAAGATGTGGTTCCCAGGAAGCCCTGAGAAAGGTCTTGCCTGGAGGCCAGCCCCTCTTCCAGGCTGAATCCTGGAACCTCTTGAGAAGGGGTGAGGTCTGGGGTGGGGTGTGGGAAGGGAGCGGGTGACCTAGGGTGTCTAGGATCCAGTGGGAGGAGGTGCCCAGGTGTGTGGGTGGGAGAAGGAGGCGGGCTGAGTGTGGGGGTAAGGGCCAGCCGTGATCGGCACCACCCCAGGTCCTGGTGGGGAGTGGGGCTCTTGGTCTCCATGCTCCATGCCCTGCAGTGGTGGCTACCTGAACCAAACCGTACCCAAGGCAGTTGTAACATACTCATGTCACGTTGGGGCTAGGGCTTCAACATATGAATGGAGGGGCACATTCCCTCCATAGCATCTCTTTTACTCGGCCAATTCCTACCTCTTGTTTTAAGTCAGCTCGGGCACCACTTCCTTAGGAATCCTTGAGTAACCACCCCATGTCTTCTTCCCATTACAGCACTTAAGGTGACAAAGCATGCTTTAATAGGTTCTTCTACTTATTTCTTTCATTGCGCTTGTCTCTTTATTTTGGAACTATCTAATATTTCTGGTCTGTTTCCCCAATAGCCTATGAGTTTTGTTTCATTCAACTATATATTCCCACACCTTGCACAGTGCCTGGCATATGGCAGGCAACCAATGATGGTTTTTGAATGAATGTAAAAACAGCATTGCCCTCCTTGATTAAATAAAGTCTGGAACCTTCAAGATTGACACTGGCCCTAAAAAATACGAGGGACACAGGCGCAAGAACAGGGACTCTCATAACCCAATGAGGGCGCTTTGCCCTTACTGCAGGGTCTGAGCGAGCGCGGTGAGGACGTTATCTGATACCCATCGCCGCGAGCAGCTCGTCGTCCAATCAAGAGCCCGCGTTCCGTGAGCCAATAGCAGCTCCGAGAGCCGCTTACCGAGGCTGGACTGCGCTTCCCTGACTAAGCGGCTGCCGTAAAGCGGTCCCGCTCAGCACGACGCTAGTCCCAGCTGCGCGCGTCTCCCCGCTCCTAGAGCGCCACCGCCCCCAGACGTGGGAGAGGCGCGCGCTCCCTCCCTGCCGGGGAGCCCTCCCCTCCCGGGGCCCCGGTCCCCAAGGCGGTCGCGGCCGCGGCTTCCTCAGGCCGGGCCGCCGGGGGAGGGGGCGGCCTGGAGGCAGTGGCGGGGTCAGCACGGGCCACCGAAAGCAGGGCCATGGAGCCCAGGGAGTCGGGGAAGGTAGGCCTGGAAGGGCCCTGGGGCCGCCCACTCTCCCCCCGTAGATCCCTGGTCTGCACTGCAGAGAGGCGGGCGGTGCGGGCGGAGTCCCCGCAGATGAGCCAGCCTTGCAGGGGAGGACTCGCCCGCTCGCCCGCCGCCTCTTCCTCCGCACTTGGGCAGATGGCGCCGGGAGGAGCGAACAACCCACCGCTCCGAGCTCCGCGCAGCCGCCTGGCTCCCCTTCCTCTCCTGGCCGAGCCACCCCTGCTAAAGTGGCCGCTCGTTGGATGCTGGGGGTGGGTGACCCGCTCCGTGTAGTGATGCGAAAGTGCTTCCTGTTTGCTCACAACAACTTAGGCGTTTTGCAGAGGCGCAGCTTGTTTTAATGCTTGGAGGCTGGATCGGACGCCTGTGGGGGCCCAAAGGGTAGAAATCACCCAGAGGCAAGGTGAGGGTTTGGACCTGCCTAGCTCCCTTTTCCCAAGAAAGGGCTGAAAAGAAAAAATAAGGCACCTGACATTTTTCTTCCTGACTTCCGATTCTAGCCTTGCTTAGAAGCATATTCCATAAACTTGCTTCAGGCCTTGGGCAGGAGGCTGTGAGTTGGAAGAAAAGGTGGGGAAAAGTGCTTGAAGGTAGAGGTTAAGTGGGTTTGACAGGATTACTGGAAAGTTCTGAGGCAGAGTCAGCAAAGACCAGTGTGGTGTAGGCGCTTGACCTGGAGACAGTGGCAATCACTTGGGACTAAGATCTTTCTGGATTCTTTTCTGCCAGTTCTTGAGGATTGTTTCTTCTTTGGCACAGGGGGAATCCCCTCAACAAACGTTTCTGAGTGCTGAGTCCCTCCTTTAAAAAAAAAAGTTGCTCATTTAATAAACATTTGTGATCGGTGATTTACAATACATTGACCGAAATGGCGGAAGTACAAGGATAAATATGTAATGACCGCTTTCCTCAAAGAGCTCGCCTATGATTTTCATTTCAATAACTTGGACAAGCCTGGAAGGGATGTCCCACGAAAGGGAGGAACGAGAATGACGTTATTTTGATGCTGTAGTTTTTTCCTGGAAAGATTGGGAAGGACGCTGAATTACAAAAGAAGTTATTCTTGGCTTAAGCATCTCTTCCACACTCCCCTCTGCAAGCTACAGGGATGCATTTTCCAGATGAAACAATCTACAAAGTAAATTATCTAAGACGATAAAGCTCAACAGAATTAACTAAAGAAAGATCGAAGGTGAACTCTGTGCCAGCCTCATGTTAAGCACTGTAGGGAAAAGGAAAGGAAATGGCTCTTCCCCTCAGGTAATAGCCCTTGGTTAGTTTAGATTGAACTTGATTTTGAGTGAGGAGGAGCAAAATGTAGTGGGGAAGAAGGGTTATAAACAATTGGCATTGGGTATTGGAATTAGTAATTTGAGGTTGGTTTCCAGCCTATTTTGTTCTGTTGTAGGCTTTCAGAGCCTTTAAGGGGAGAAGAGAGAAATACAAACATTTTGGGAGGTAGAGGAGAAATGTGATGCCTCTTTTAGGCCCAGCCACTAGTTGAAAGCCCTGGGGACTGGAAATTTCACCTTTGCTTCTAATCTTGATTGCAAGGTATCTCAAAAAGATGCTCACCAAGTGTATCAGTTTTCTAACCCGGGAAATGATACCGTTACCCACAGATGAAATAAATTGATTGCAAAACAAACTGGCCGTGTAGCAAAGATGTGTTGCAAATGAGTGACAGTAACAAGCCTAGATGGATTAGCTGTGCTATTCTAAGCTCCATTCCAAATATTGTTTTGGCTCAAAGCTGGGAAACTGAGGATTCACTTGATGAAAAGACTTGGTCTGTTATTAGAATCTTCCTTTAGGGCTATTTTGTGATATTTATTAACTAAAAGCAATCTTGGCCCGTTGGATTGGGTATCTTGCTTGTCATTGGCAGAATAAGGGATAACAGACTTTCCCCTATTATCCTGTTTTACGTTCTTCCCAGCCCTTATCACTATACAAAATTCTCACATACATTTATTTATTTATTTACATATTTGCTGACTTTACTTTCGGCTACACCCCCAGCTAGAACAGTGGAACAGTTCCTGAGACTTAATAGGTTCCCAAGGTATTTTTTTTGAATGAACAACTGCTAAAATAGCACCGTATAGGAGCCCTTTTACTGCAAGGTGTGGGTGTTCTGAAGAACACTTCAGTCTGACACTTCATGTGCCCCTTGGGAGACTGTTGTCAGTGCTGTCAAGTACGGGTATTTATTGTCTCAACATTTCTGGTTCCCACACCCCTCTGATTCTCGCATAGCAGTGATCACCCCCTTCTCATTTTTCTCTGTACACAGTTCTGTTACTGCACTTACATCAGGTGTCTGCTACCTGTGAGATTTTAATCTTGAGAATAAAGATGGTATCGTTCATATCTTAGGGTCACCATGCACCAAGCACATAAGAGCAAATAATAAATGTATGTTGAATGAAAAAATTAATTTAGTGTCTGAAATACTCTATAACCTGGTGGTGGGGAGAGGGCCAGTGATGGTGAAGGGGGTTATGAAATAAGCCAATCAGCATAGGCTTACTGATTGCCAGGCTCCATGAGGGCTAGAAAGCCTTCCTTGCTCAGGGGAAGGAGAAATGCTTGGACTAAGTGGTTAGGAACTTCCTCATGGGAGAGGTGGAATGTGAATGGGAATTTGATGAGTGAGTAGACTCTGGGTAGGTGGGAGGAAATGATCAGAGTCAGGGAATCTAAAGGAGGGTGTGTAGAAGGAAGATAAATGGAGTGATTGCCATTATCCGAATCTGGCTGTAGTAGAGGTTCCAGGTGGGGCAATCCATAGAGCTAAGGTTAGGAAGGTGGGTTAGGTTCAGATTGAGGGACCTGGTGCGGAGCTGAGAAGTCAGAGCTCTACCCTATAGACAGTGGGAATCACTAAAGTAGAACATCCAGAGATAGTCTGATTTATATGTAGATAAGGAATTCCTCTTATTCAAGCAGATGTGTGTTTTCTTAACATTGCAGTCAACTGGAATCAGAAGGCTCTTGCCATAATATTGGTTAAAAGAGAGATACCAGGGTTAGGGTTGTCACTCTTGTTGGCAAGATACTTCTTTATTATCTAGACATTCAGTCCTGGCCATATGCTTCATCCTTGTGGAGCCTGTAAGCTAAAGTGATGGATCCATTTGGTTCCATTATGTCTACCTGTTCCCTCAGGAAGAAAGAGTAGGTTAGGTGGCTTTGAATAGGGAGCCCTGCTGTCTTTGGTCACAAAATTGTTATCATGCCCCAATCGAAACAGCTTGCCCTCTAGTCCTGGTGTACAGTAATCATCCCAGAATCTGCTTTCGCTGTAATCTCGAGGGTTCTCTTTCCCCTTGCCCACTCTGGCTCTCTGTAGACCACATCTGTGTATACCCCTTTCCTATCTGACTGCCTTCTTGTAATGCAGCCCATCTTCCAGCAAGTTTTTGGAAATATAATCACATTTTGCTTTTGAAAAATACTCTGAGAGCAAATAGTTATTTAAAACAATTAAGTTCACGAACTTGTCACCGTGCCCTTACATTGGCAGCACTGTACAAACAGCTCAGTAAGGTTTCATAACCTTGGTATATCAGTATCTCACAGCTGTGTTCATGTCGACATGTGGTGGTGTCTTGCTGAATGACGTTCATTATTGTTGCATGTTTTTGTGTGCTGTCTTGAGAATGTCTAAGCTTGAATGAGAGCAATGGGCAAACATTAAATTTCTTGTTAAACTTGGCAAGAGTGGAAGTGAAATCAGGGGCATGTTAGTCCAAGTTTATGGGGATAATGCCACGAAGAAAATGGCAGTGTACAAATGGAGTAAATATTTTTCTGAGGGGAGAGAATGCATCACTGCTAAAGAGAACTCAGGGCGGCCAGTAATGAGCAGAATTGATGAAAACGTTGCAAAAATTCGTTGAGTTGTGTGTCAAAATAGTCAGCTGACTGTGAGAAGCATAACACACCAAGTTTCTCAATAGAGAAACAGTTAGGAAAATCTTAACTCAAAATCTTGGCATGAGAAAGGTGTGTGCAAAATTGGTCCCAAAGGAGCTCACGGATGAACAAAAGCAAAGGAGAGTCGAAGTTTGCCAAGACCTTTTGGAGAGGCAAGACAATGTCTTGGGCCATGTTATCACTGGTGATGAAATATGGGTCTACCAATCCGACCCTGAAGCAAAGCATCAAGCAGCACAATGGAAGTCATCCAATTCTCCATGACCAAAATGTTCTGTCGCTCCAAATCAAGCGTCAAAACGATGTTGCTAACCTTTTTTGATATCAGAGGGATTATTCATTATGAATTTGTACCAACTGGACAAACAGTTAACCAAGTTTACTATTTGGAAGTACTGAAAAGGATGTGTGAAAACGTTAGACGACCTGAACTTTTTGCCAGCAATTCATGGCTCTTGCATCATGACAATGCATCAGCTCACACAGCACTGTCTGTGAGGGAGTTTTTAGCCAATAAACAAATAACTATTGGAACACCCTCCCTACTCACCTGATCTGGCCCCCAATGACTTCTTTCTTTACCCGAAGATAAAGGAAATATTGAAAAGAAGACATTTTGATGATATTCAGGACATCAGGGGTAATACGAGGACGGCTCTGATGGTCATTCCAGAAAAAGAGTTCTGAAATTGCTTTGAAGGGTGGATTAGGCGCTGACGTCGATGCATAGCTTCCCAAGGGGAGTACTTAGAAGGCGACCATAGTGATACTCAGCAATGAGGCATGTAGCACTTTTTCTAGGATGAGTTCGCGAACTTAATTGTCAGACCTTGTACATTTTCCTAAGTTTTGCAAAAGAATGTGCTGGAAGCTGTTGCTGAGGCTGAGAAGTAATGGGTCCTGTGGGGAGGCCATGAAGAGCACACACTGAAAGGATTTTGAAATTCCCGACTCAGCCATCTTTATACTCTTTTGTTTCAGTGTGTGGCCCTTCCTAGCAGAATGAGCCTCATTGCCACTGTGACCCAAGTGGTGAGAGAGATGGGGTGTAGTCTTCTATGTAGATTGATGGTGTCCCTCCCCTAATCTGATGCACTCCCAGAGTAGGGGTGCACTTAGGTGGTCGTGAAAACAGGTGTGGAAGACTAAGGAAGAAGTTGGTGCTCAGCTGGTGTCGTTTTTCTTTTCAGACTCCTGTGACATTTGATGACATCACAGTGTACTTGCTTCAGGAGGAATGGATGCTGCTGAGTCAGCAACAGAAGGAGCTCTGTGCTTCTGACGAGCTGGTGGCGCCACTGGGTATGGGCTCCTGTTCACGTCCCCACCGCCTGACTGTAGAGCAGCGTTCCCGACCGTATCCAACTATGGCATACTCAGGAAGTTTCTAGAATCCTACCATTCTGGGGGGACATCTTTATGCATCTGTTCAGTCTCCTCTCTAACTTAACTGCACGTGATTCGCTCACCATCCTTCCTGTCCTCCCTTTAAATTGGCAAAGAGAAGTGGGGAAATTGAGCATGTCAGGCTAGACCTTGGTGCCTCAGGATTTCCCAAGGTGCCAGGTGGGAAGCCCCACCTGTGGCCTGTGGCACTGCAAGGTGGATTCTGTTTCAGGTCCCCAAAGGGCACTGAGGTAGAAGGAGCACCAGGTATGGAGTGTGGCAATCTGGTCTCAGTCCCAGCTTATCATGTGACACGGGTGTGCCTTTGACCAAGCCCTTTAGCCTTTGTAAGCCTTGATTTCTGTCTTCATAGGGTTGTCACAGAGGTTGAGAGAGATAAAACAACTTAAAATTTTGTGCCCATGAAGGTATTTTTCATCTTTTCTATTTCCTGAATGTCCTTTCTCTGCTTCTACGGCTAGACTTTCTGTACCATAGACAGAGGTGATTGTATTTTAATGTGGCTACACACATCTGTACTATTTTCTGGTTTCAATTTGATGGCCACCCTATCTTCCCTTCTTTTCATCTTGGTCTCCATCAAAGGGTTATGGGAATGGCAGTCTCTGCTTTCTGTGAACAGAGGGATTGTGGGTGGGCTGGTCTCCTTCCCATGCCAGAAACAGTTTGAAAACCACTGATTCTCCTAAACCAGAAGTTGTGAAGTAGCAGGTCATGGGCCAGGTTTGACCCACAGATTTTTATTTTCTTTTTTGACTGTCATCACTTTTGCTTGGCTTCTTAAAAATATTTACATAAATCGTCAGTATTGAAACATGGGAAGTTTTCACATGAAAATATGGTACCTGGCTTCTCTTGACAAATAGGACCGTTGGGCAGTGCTGACCCTGGGTTCCGCGTGGTGGCCTCCTCCTGGACTCGAGTAGCAGCTGTCCCGCACACAGGTTTGAGTCCTCCAGGTGGCCACAGCCACCCAGCCTGGCCCGGTGTACTCAGTTGTATAATCAGTTGGGCCCCTCTTAGCCTCTATTCTGAACCAATAGTTTTCATGCCGTTTTAGTCTAGAAGAGGGGCACAGAGCCTTGCTTTTATTTAGTCTCCCATTCTCGTAGGGGCCTCACGGATACCTGCATTTCTAAACCACTGTGCTGAACCATTGAGATTTCTGTTTAGCTCCTTGACAGTTATCCCACCATGCTGAGAGGATGCGACAGACAGAGCTTTCACTAGCGTTGTGATCTAGATACAGGACTTCATAGTGCTTCTCTCTTCCTGACTGAGGACCAATTATTGCCAACCCAGAGCTGCTGTGTAGTTTGAGCAAGGGCCAGGCCCAGGGGAATCTCCTGAGACACCACCCAGGTTTGTGTGGACCCACACCAGAGGGAGGGGAGCTTAGCTGGAGAGAGGACTCCTGTCTCATCCTCCACCTCTCCCTGTTCTCCACCAATTGACTCTCGAAAGCTATTCCCGCCCCCCGCAACTGTCACCTTATCTAAAATATACACACCTCCCCCCACATGGCTTTCCAACCTCTCATCTCCCTTTATTTTATTTCTACCCGAGAGTATATGTTTATTTATAGCTATATGAGTTCCATGAAAACGTGACTTTGTCTTATTTACTACTGTATTCCCAGTGTCAAGAACAACGCCTGGCACATAGTAGTTGCACAATAGATTATCACTGAATGAATGAATGAATGAATGAATGAATGAACAGCTATCTACTAAGTTCTAGGGGTTTATGTTTGCTTTGCTGCTTTGAGAAGCTTATCCTGTTCAGGGATTGGCTTGGCTCGAGCACTCAATGTGGAAGAGACTGAGTAACCCAGCCCCTTCTGCTGGAGAAAAGGGAGGTGGGAAGAAGCTCCCATATGAATCGAATCATAGAAGTATGCTGTCCCTCGTCTATCTCAGATGGACCACAAGGAGCACTAGGCTTCTTAATACTAAGGCTTCTTAATACTGACTAACTTGTTTCGTTTTTCTCTGCTTGACTCTTTATGAACTGCCTCGTGCTCCTGGGGCTGGCTACAATTCTGTACATTGGTCTCTGGACCTGGAGCAAATACTGTTGAGTTCTTGGTGCCTGGGCATCAGAACTCACACTGATGCAGAAGAAACGGTTCCAGAGGAGTTCGAGTTGTCTCAGCTGTGTTTCACCTAAGGAGCAAATAAAGAAACTTCTAGTTTATCTTGAAGAAGAAAAATCTAGTGAGGTCATGAGGGGCTTCACCTCTTTGAAGGGTTGTGGTGTGAGAGAGGAATGAAATTTGTGTGTCTCTTGAGGGCTGAAGTAGCACCCCAGGGTGGAAGTTACTCAAAGCTGGATTGCAGCATAGGGAAAACTCTGGGAACCAAAACTGTCTGCCCTGGAATAGGTCGCTCTGTGGCCCCATAGGCCCTGGAGCAAAGTGCAGATACATGGCTGCCTGTCAGAGAATACCGAGTCAGGAGGCTCCTGCAGGGTATGGGGTGGTAGTACAGGCATACCTCGTTTTGTTGTGCTTCACAGACACTGCATTTTGTTAGAAATTGAAGGTCTCTGGTAACCCTGCATGGAGCAAGTCTGTCAGCGCCATTTTTTCCAACAGGCTCCAGGGATGGTTGGCATTTTTTACCAATAAAGTATTTTTTAATTAAAGTGTATACATTTTTTAGATGGAATGATATTGCTAACTTAACAGACTACAGTATAGTGTAAACATTGCTTTTATGTGCACTGGGAAACCAAAAACTTTGTGACTCAACTTTATTGCACTATCGGCTGTATTGAGGTGATCTGGAACCAAACCCACAGTATTTCTGAGATCTGCCTGTATTTGGTTTTAATGATCTTTTTTACCCATGTTCTATTAGTTCAGTGTTCTTATCCATAAATAAGTTTGAACTCCGAAGATTGTGCCACTATCTTAGGTTGCTGATAACAAATTGCAGCAATCTCCTTTTGGCCAGGTGTATCTGTGCTTTATATTTTTTTAAAGGAAAGGTTTGCTTAAAGCCCACTTGATTTTTTTCTGGGTTAGGTAAGGTGGGCCTGGGGAGTTGGGGGAACCGAAAGAAGAGAAATTGGGTAGAGGTTGTGTCACCTTTGTATGATCTCCAGCTCTCATATTTTACATATCTCAGAGCCTCCATGAGTTGCAGTGGCTCTCACCATAGGGTTTCAGAGCAAATTCCATTTGTCTCTTTTCTCTAAAGGAAAACACAAGATGGGCTACGTGGAAGAAATGGACGTGCACGGTCCAGCCAGAGAAGCTGGGCCATACCTGCCACCGCAGAAGAAAGCCTGTCCCTCTCACTTGGGTACAGAGAGAGACGCCATTGAGGAAAACCGCACAGGAAAAAGCAAAAAGCCCCTGAGACCCCGGTCCATCCAGAAGTCGTGGTTTGCGCAGTTCCCGTGGCTGGCCACGAATGAGGAGCAGACGTCTCTCTTTTGCTATGCTTGCCGAGAATTCTCGTCTGTCAGGGGCAGACGGTCCAGACTGATAGAAGGTTATACAGGACCATTCAAGGTGGAGACTCTCAAATGCCACGCCAAGAGCAAAGCTCACCTGTTCTGCATTGATGCCTTGGCAGCACAGGACCCCACCTGGACAGCCCGTTTCCGGGGCATCCAAGATGCCAGCCCGGAGCACCTCTTCCCTGCAGATTATCCCATCTTGTACCCCCCAGGGCCTCTGGGGGCCTATGAGAACATGGCCCAGCTTCTGCCCAGCTCTTGGGCTGAACTGGAGGACCCTGGGCAGAATGGAGCAATTCCTGCATTGTATCTGGACTGCACTTCCGAGTTCAGGCATAAAGAAGCCGCTGATGACGTCAGTAGCTCCTCAAATGCTAATATTTGGTGTAGTCACTCTGCTGAACCCTGCAGCCAGGTAATATGTTTGTAATGATGATGTATCTTAGGTGGGGGAAATTGCATACTGAGAACAACATATAATGCATGATGATGATGGAAAAATTATATCAGCTTACCTACTGCAAACATAATGTTATCATAAGCTAGCATGCTTAGCATGTCCTAGGCATGGTTTTCAGGGCTTTACACGTATTGTTTATTTAAGACAACAGCCCTATTATTATCATCTCTTTTTGCAGGTCACAAAACCTAATTAGTGGGACTGAACCTGCTTTTCTGATATTAAGGGAACACCTAAATTCAGAACAGTAATCTTTATCCAGAATCCACAACAAGCACAGAGCTCAGTCCGTAATCCACAGCCACAAAACAACCACAGAGCTCTTAAGTAATCAAATTAACATTTTGTTTTCAACTTTATCTTTGGGGTCATGTAGCATTTTTCAGCATTGCACAGTTTCTTCGCATACATTCTTTCATGTCATGATTTTCATACTGCTCTGAGGCCGCTGGGGTAGCTTGTTGGGAGAAAGCTGAGACCTGGGAGGACTGACCTGTCCTGAGTCCAGGGGCTCTCGTGACGTTGACCTTGCCCAGGGCCCTGGCAGCCAGCCTGGTGCTTCCCTTCTACTCCCCCATTGGTGGGTCCTGGAAGGCTCTAGTTCTTATCCTAGGTTTGTTTTGTAATTTTCTAATTCTTTGGAAGGTTGTTCGGTGAGGAAATCATATTAACTGGAATCTTTGAGTAACTAGAACCTTCCCCATGTCGCACTATTGCACGTAAGTCTCTCTTTGAGTCCCCGCTCTAGTGTTCCAAGGAAAATAGCTCAGGAGTTCCTTATGCCTGACATCAGAAGGGCCCAGCTAATGTCAGTAAGCTTGGATTTTTCCAGAATCCAAAAAAATGACAAAGCTCATTTCTCTTCATGTTCAAGTTCCTTCTAAGTATGAGAAGCTAATAAACAGGACTGAGCTTTTATAACCTGAATTCCTTTAGCAGTACTGCTTATGTAAACCCAGTCACTGAATATAAGCATCGGTAGCTCCTTTTTACTGCTTCCTTCCCATCCCAGTGGGAAGGCTTAGCAGGTGTTCCTAGAGGCAGGATGAGTAGAAGGCACCCCCTCAGGGCTGTAGGAGGCAGGCTGCAGTCATAAGGTTCTCCCAAGACCCCTCCCTATTCTTTCAGTGCCTTTACATTTCCTCCCAGGAGACCCTAGGATCACTCTGAGGCTCATTTGGTTTTTACGCACTAATTCTGGGCTTCACGTATTTGCTTCTTTGACTTTTGTCAAAGATAAATGAGTTCCTCAGAGTACATCTGGGCCTCTTGGCGAGCTTCCCAGGAGAAACAGGCCTTGAAAAGGACCCCAAAAGTGCCACGCCGGGTACCTGACGTAAGAGGCCTACTGAGTGACTGCTACTTTTTGTTGCAGGATCCTTCTGAAGAGGGGCTGTTCTCAGAGGTTCCTGTGATGTTTGAGGAGCTGCCGGTGGTGTTCGAGGACGTGGCTGTGTATTTCACCCGGGAGGAGTGGGGCATGCTAGACAAACGGCGGAAGATGCTGTACAGAGACGTAATGCGGCAGAATTACGAGCTGTTGGCATCCCTGGGTAAAGATTCATGTATACCTTGTTTACCACCATCATTTGACATGGGAAGCCCACAAGGGCCGCTGTGACTTGTGGTCACCTTCCCATATCTTCCCCTTCCCTGTACGTAGGCAGAGAGTGATTCTATCTTTTGTACCTTGGCACTCTCCCTGCTTTGGGATACTGTACTTTATCCCCTCTTCATCTACCCATCTACCACCCATCCTCCACCAAACATTTATTGAGTACCTACTACGTGCCAGACAGACATGAATGAGGCGAGGTCTCTGCTTTCAAGGGCCAGTAGGTTTGTGGGTGAGACAGACACTTTAATAAGAAGCTACAACATAACACAAGCTCCATAAAAGGGGTTCAGGAAAAGTGCCCTGGGGTTACTGAGGAAAGATGATTTAATTTTGCTGGGCATCAGAGGGAGAGATCAGCGAAGTCTTTACACAGTATGAAACGATTTAACTGAATTGGAGGACGCGGGGGAGGAAGAGCATCTAGATATGACAGAGGGAGGGGACAGCATGACAAAGGCATGGAGGTGAGACGGCCTCTGAGTAGATGGTGTCGTCTACTTCGTCTGGGCCCAGGCTGCTTCATCCTTCCTTCCTAGGGGCCAGCAAGGGTGGCGTTGTGGGCCTAGGTGTCACTCAAATGGACACTGGAGAGTGACGGAAGTGATCCTGTTTATTTCCTTCCCAGAAGACTACTGTCCCCTGCATCTGCTTCTTATTCTTTTCTTTCCCTCCTTTTTCTGTCAAACACCCAAGATTCATCTGGCATCAAACTAGAAAGATAACTTTCCGTGTTATAAAACTTTTATTTCTTCTTTTTACTAGCATATATGGTTAACAACAGACCCTTCAGAACTTAGGCATTCCAGCAGCGACCTGTATCATGCCTTCTACACAATAAGTCAGACTATTTGTGACTTAATTGGTGTCACATCCCCTGGTGTACACTGTCCTTTCATGTGTGGCTGAGATATAGATTATTTTCTAAACAGTCTTGACCTAAATATATATACTTGTTTTTATCGTTGTTTAGAATTTTTAAATGGCTCCCAAACATTCAGAAATAATTGTTCATAACATAAATCACGACTTATTTCGTGGTGATAGAGGTTTTATAATTATGTGCTTGACCCGGGCAAAGTGTACCTTCAGAGAGCATCACTACCAGTGTTTAAAAGCAGTGGGAATGAGGGGGAGTTCATTTTTAAAAAAATACACACCCACATACACGAAGTCAGTTTCTCCTTCAAAGAAATGAGTCGTAGGGATGCACTTTGGCCAGTAGACCCCTGGTGGGCAGTTGTGGTGAGGGGTGGGCAGCCAGTCCGGATGGCGGGGCGTCACCCACAGCACAGAGTGACTCACACTGTTCAGTCTGTGCTTCAGTCCAAGTTGTGTGGCCTCAGCATTTTATCATTTTCTTTTTGACATTCATGAGTTAGGAAGTGGGGGAATCTTAGCTAACTGGGGGACATTAAGGGACTGTTCAGTCTTGGTTAAGTTTTGTTTGGATGAACAAAAAGTGTAATCAGAGGAAGGGTTTTGCTTGAGGCTTGGGGGCAGGAATCAGGGAAAGCTTTAGAGGGAGCATTACTTTAGTTAGGTCTACAGCTATTATCCTTTATCCTCTGATTTAAATAATATTCCATGTTTGAGATATAAAAGCATTTTAAGGTGCTTTGACAGTATATGTTCACACAACAACGAAATCGCATAAAGACGCACTTCTCAGAACATATCCCTGTTGTTAAGGGACACATGGAAATTCCCTTCTGTCTCACTTGTTCTGAAGGGAACAAAAAGAAAAGGTTTTTGGCAACATTTTAGCCACAGCTTCAAAGAGGTCCAGTGGGGTACAGTACTCCTGGGTCCAGTGTGGTTGTACAACGGGCAATTAAAGGTGGCCAGTCCCCGAGGGGAATATAACTGAGGCAAATAGATTTGGTGATATTCAGTCTCCTGTGTATTTTCAGTTATTCTTTAAAAATGTTTCTGAATAATTATGTGTTTTTTAAAAAAATCAAAGTAGTTCTAATAAGACTTATAACAAAAAAATGACAGTCCCTTCTCCCACCTTTCTCAGTTGCTGAGTCCTCTTCCGGAATCTTTTAGCTGTTTCTTCTAGTAATTTTCCTCATTAATTCTAAGAAATACACGTAGACATTATTTTTGAAAGAGTGAACTTCAGTGGGATGTACTCATAAAACAGCTTTGCTCTTTTCCTTCACCACTTGTTTGGATCAGCTCTGGGGGGCTTTTCTTTCTTATCCTTTGGGTTGTCAAAAGAAAATTCAGAGAGTTTTACTTGATATGAATATTTTATTGAGCAAGAAACAAACTGTTTAAGAAAAGGGAGACTTCAAACCCAAAGTGGATAAAAACTTGGTTCTCAGCAGTTATAGCTCAGTCTATAAAGCATGAATGAGGGAGTACATTTTTTTAAAATTGTGATTGGCTACTAGAAATTTACATCCTTTTTAGGGTAGTAGCACTGTTTAAGTTTTGTGTGTAGTTGATTGGATTGGAAGCTCTAAGTCACACTGACATGAAGTAAATGTACATGTTGTTTAAGGTCAGAGTCAGCATTTCAGGGAAATCAGGACAATTTAGATTTGGTGATGTAATTATATGTGTTTGATTCACGGGTATACTCAAACTGTGGCCTCTGTTTTGGTTTGTCTTTAACAGGGTGGAATCTGGGGCAGGGTCAATGACTTTCTTGTGACATTCAGGTAACAGAAAATCCTCCAGTCATTTTTTAGTCACATTAATGATCTAATTTCAATTAATAAAATATCTAGTCCTGTACTCTTTGAATATGCCCTGTTCAGGAGGCCGGCTCAGGGAAGATGGTGGAATAGAAGACACCAGGAATCTGTCTTCCCACCTTGACAACAACTGCACAGGGAAGAATCTGTCTGATATAACTATTTTGGAACCGTGGAGTCTGTTGAAGGCTTGCAACTTCCAGGGGAAGTCTTAGATGGTAAATTTTGGTCAGTTTCAGCTCTTAGCAGGGTAGCAGCTACCTACTCCCCACCCAGAGCCACATGACAGCCACATGTTCCTGGAGCAGCTTGCACAGAGGTTGCAGGAGCCAGGGTGGGCCAAAGGACCCTGCCATCCAAGTATTGGAGATCTGTGCTCTGATCTCTGATTGCTGCTTCTGATCACAGAGGTGCAGACAAAGAGGCAGGCAGATATTGTTGTTGCACATCCTGCATTATTACAAGACCCCCACCTCCAGCTGAGGTGACATCCAGGGGATTTAAAGGGCAAGCACTTTTCCCCCTCTTCACTTTTCTCTCTTCCCCCTCTTGTGAACCAGCCATAAATGACTAGAACATTCAAAAACAACTGTATATATGAGAAAAATTAGAAAGTGACAGCATGTGCCCAGGAAAGGTTTAAGAAGACCTGTGAAGACCTTAAATTTATACCTCAAACTGATACTTGGCACAAAAATAGCCTATAACAATAAAAACTAAAACTAAAACAATAAAAGTGGTAAACCTGGGGACGTGGGGAGAGTCTGATTCCCAGAGTTATATTATTAGATTCAGATGTTCAGTGTTCAACCAAAAAAATCACAGGCATACAAAGAAACAGGAAAGTATTGCCCATTCAAAGGGAAGAAAATAAACCAACAGAAACTATCCCTGATAAAGATATCCCTGGTGGCAGATGTACTAGCCAAATACTTTAAAGCAACTGTCTTAAAGATGCTCAGAGAACTGAAGGAAGATATGGAGAAAGTCAAGAAAATAATGTATGAACAAAATGCAAATATCAATAAAGAGACAGGAAACCTAAGAAACCAAAAGGAAAATCAGGAGCTGAAAAGTACAGTAATTAAAATGAAAAATGTACTAGAGGGATTCAAAGGCAGATTTGAGTGTGCAAAGAATTGGCAAACTTGAAGATAAGGCGATGGATATCAAGTCTGAGGAATAGAAAAATAAAAATGTTGAAGTGAACAGAGCCTAAGGGACCTGTGATACACAATCAAGTGGACCAATATATGCATTGTGGGAGTCCCAGAAGGAAAAGAAAGAGATAAAGAGGAAGAGAGAATATATGAAGAAATAATGACTGAAAACTTCCCAAGTTTGATGAAAGATATGAATATAAACATCCAAGAAGCTCAGTGAACTCCAAGTAAGATGAACTCCAGCATTGGAGACCTCGCACTGCAGTTCCCGTTCCATGGGTGAATGCCGGCTTTGGCAGTCGCTCCTCTTTGTGCTCTTTCTTGGGGAGCATCCTACCAATAGACAGTCACGGGCAGAGTCCCTTTAAGTGGCTCAGGTCTCTTCTCTTTCCCTGTGGGGCCTACATCTGCAGGGACCACGGAAGACACATACATCCTTTGCTCCTACAAACCCTGGGAATTTAGGCGCTTCCCAGCATGGCCACCACAAAGGAGCCCATTGGTCAGTTTCTGCCTTTAGTCTTTTGCAGGCCTGGATTCTTGAGCAGCTCCGCAGCCCCACATCCCCAGGAGGCACAGGCCAGGTTGTCATAACCGCTAGGCTTAAGGTCAGGGGAAAGTAGCTCACCGCACCCCTCCCCATGGCAGTGCGACGGAGAGGGCGCACAACGCACTTGACAGCTCTTTCCAGAACCATCTCCAATACACAACGTCCTGACTGCTTTACTCCCAGTGCTTTGACACCTTTGTGGAAAAGGCTTGGGTTACAGCCCAGTATTTCAGCTACCCTCCTTCCAAGTCAGGCTTCTGAGTCTAGCTTTGGAATGGGGGATAGTTGGCTCCTGTTTTTTGGGGCCTTCCGCCAAAACAGGCAGACAGAATCATACTTTAATATCCTGTTGCATATGTTTATTGCTATTCCTGATTTATTGATTTTAGATTTTATCTATTGATTCCTACTGTGGAAGATGAAGATATGGCCCTCTTACATCACCCCAGGCCCCCACTTCTCTTCCCTCCATCCTCTCAGAACAGGTATACCACACTTTTTGGTTAATTCAATGTAAATTGTTTGCCTGATTATGATTATGTATTATTTACTTCTGATCAAAGTAGCATATTATGATATTTTGTTGTAGGATTTTTTCCATCTGGAATTGAAATTTTTTCTTATTATTTTATTTTGCTAGTTTTCTGTGCTGTCACCAGTTCTCCGCAAATGCTCCAGTGAATTACACAGCTCCGTTGAAGAGTCCTTTTCACATGACCAAACATCCTGTGATTTATTGGCTTCACTCTTTTTCTGGAGGCTTCTGTCATGGGTCTCCCTTTCCTCTGCTCTATCTAAACTGGTTCATCTTTAGGCCTGCTGTATAGCTGTGGCCTCAAATTTCCCTTTGTCTTTCTCCTGTTTCCTGGATCTGTCCCTTCTTTCAGGTTTGTAGCTTTATTTTGTTGTAGCACATCTTCCAGTAACCCTAAGAAAGGGTGCATGGGAAAAAAAATTTTTTTTATGGCTCTGTGTATCTGAAAATGCCCTCATTTTGCCGTCACAGTTGATAACCTGGTAGGGTTTAGAATTCTAGGTTGGAAATCATTTTCCTCAGCATTTTTAAAGTATTGCTTTTTGGTTTTATGGGTGCTGTTGAAAAATGCCTTTGTAGTCCTAAATATGCCTTGTATTTCAACACAGCTTATTTTTCTACTCTGAAAGGTTTTAAGATCTATTCTAGTATTCTGATGCATTTGATGATATGGGTGTCTTTTGTTCTTTTGTTCTTGGTATCTGGCACTTCCCTTCTATGTGGAAACTTACATTTTACAGTTTGGGGAAACATTCTTGTATTATTTCTTCCTATCTATTTTCTCTCTTTTTTCTTCCAAAAAGTCCTATTAGTTAGATATTGGACTTCCTAAGTTGAGCCTGTACTTTTGTTTTCTTTTTCCCCCTATTTTCTGCTTCTGTCTTTTTTTGTTCCGCTTTATTGGAGATTTCCTCAATTTTATTTTCTAACAATTCTATTTAATTTTTAAAAACTTTATCACATTTAAAATCTAAGAGCCATTGTTGCTCTTTTCATGGATGACTATCATGACTTTTCTCTCTGGGAATATTAATTCTAGTTTGTTTTTTTGAAGTTCTGTTTTGCTTCTTGCATCATCTCTACTTCCATCCTTTTTTCAACTTGTTTCGTGTTAGAAGCTTATCTTAAAGAAATATCTTTTGGTTCATTCATATTTAAAAGTAAAGCCTTAAAAACAAACTGGCCGGAATCTCCATGTGCATAGCTGGGACTCCTTGAGCCTAGGTTTCACTGTAGGGTGACCAGCTGTGAACCTGGATGTCTCACTGAAGAGCCCACAAAAGCCAGTCTCCGTAGGTGTTTTGTGGGAAGGGGTGCGGGGGAGGCAATTCAGTGTCTCCAAAGAAAACTCTTGCAGTCTACTGCCTGGAGCGTATAAGCCGAGTCAGTGATCTTAGAGGCAAGTAACGCCCCTTCTGCAGCTCTCTGTTTGTATTACAACCCTTCAGCTTTGTTTTTCATTCTCCCCACTATCCCCGGGTTGGACCTTCCTGGTGAAGTTTTCTGTAGACTTAGTCTCTGTTCTCCTCCTCGGGTGAGGATGCTGGTGTTTTCTGGTTTCCTGGGATCGGTGAGAGGACCTGGGATGGATCTGGTCCCTGCAGACTTTGAGCCCGCCCCATGTCCACCTGTTCCTTACCCACCACCTTCTACTGCACCTGGGGCCTCTGGGTCCTGCATCTTCCGGGGTTTCTGTGGCCAAATTCCCTTCCTTCTCCTTTACCCCCTCTGCCAGCATTTGCTGTTCGGCTCTGTTAGTTCTCTGTCTTTTATCTTTTTTCCTTCTTCCAAAAATATATTAACATTTCTAGTCCAATATTTCCCTCAGACTTATGCTTTGTTTTAAGAAGCATATTTGTTCAATGTAGCACACTTTAATAATTTACTTATTATATTTTTACTAGTAATAAATATGTGGATACATACACACATATAATAAATATACATATATTCAAGTGATCCAAAAGGTGAATCACAAGGGTAATCTCCCCTTTACCTTGTCCTTTGATTCCTCCCCAAAAGTACCCACGATTATCGGTTGCTTGTGTGTCCTTCCAAAGGAAATTTATACACACATTCACACAGACACACACACACACACAAAATGTAAGTGGGTGATAGTGGGTTTTACTTTAAATCAAGAGAGTGATTTCATTGCATACCCCTGAGGGATAGTCATATTTTAAATAAAGGGCAGTGCTTAACTCAAAGACATGAATTTCTTCTGGTCAGATTTCAGGTTTTATGGCAGGTGGTAGACACTTTTAAGGGGCCTCTCAAGTGCCCCTTAAAATAACTCATGTACTTAGTTAGCCGCCTGCACCAAGTCCAGCCATAGGTGTTGCCAAGGGCACCTGCATGGGAACAGTTGTAGGTGGCACTCTTCCACTTCTCATCTAGCTTTCTTTATCATCCCTATCTTCTATTTTGTCACCTATATTTCTTCCTATTGTCTTTCACCCTTTCCCCTCTAGATGCCCTTGGCTGACTCATGGCTCGCATGGCTGACCCATGGAGCTAAGGAAGTTATTTATCCTGGCTAAGGGATATGCCTGATCGGGCTGGTTTCAAGAATAAAATTGGCACCCTACATGAGTATGCTTTCATCATGCCCTGGCTGAATAGACTTTGTTAAGAGATAGGCCCAGAGGCATCCCTAAGTATTTCAGGTACCACAAATAGCTTCAGGAGGGCTACTTGACTTGATGGTCCACAGCAGTGACATCAGTGTGACTTTTTGTCCCTGCAATAGGGCCTGCTGCTGTCAAACCAGACTTGATCTCAAAACTAGAGCGTGGAGCTGCACCCTGGATCAGGGACCCAAATGGGCCGAAGTCGGGGAAAGGTGAGTCTTGACCTACTGAGTTCTGAAGGGCACATCCAGGGGCCCATGTCACTGCAGCGAATCACACCATGTTAGTTAACCCATATTTAGCCTGAACCTATTGTGCACCAGGCCCTGTATTAGGCCCTGGGTAGACAGACAAATAAGAAACTAACCCTGCCCTCATAATATAGAATGGCCTGAGAAACCGGGACAGTGTGACAAAACTAAGGAGCTCTGGTGAGCAAAAGTGCCAAAGGGACCTGTGGTGGAGCTTTGGGGGAAGGTAGGCACTGGTTATGAGGGATCATGTGACCCACAGGCCGTGAGCCCCTCCTTTTTCCCTCCTCCTCTGGTGTTTAGTGACAGTATTGCTGTCTGTGAGTTAGTTATTTTGCATATCTCAGGCAGTAACTTCTTTTGCTAGTAGCTGTTGTCAATACTTCTGCACCTCCCTTCTCTCAAAGGCTCGTGAGGACTAACATGTTTAACCTCATTTCCTTGTGATGCCTCGCAAGAGGATTAAAGCCACCTGTTTATCCAATAGCATCTATGGCCAAGGTGGTAAACTAAGCTTATTAGCAGCTGATGTCACATGATCTCGGGGTCGCTGTGTGGATAGAAAGGAGGAGGCTGGCAAAAGAGCCCACAGGGATTAGCAAACACCTTTTAGGGAGCCAGATCGACTTCCACAGATAATAGTGGGGAAGCCACTAATGACTTCTAGAAAGGTGTATCACATTCATCTTTGCTGCTTTGCATAAGGGGTACTTATTGAATTGGGAGACCTTAGCTGATGGGAGACCGCAGAGTTCTGGGCAGCAAAACCAAGCACAGTTTGATTTGCTCCAAAGGGAGAAAGAAGATGGTGGCCAGAAGAGAGGCAGACACACAGGCCTCAGCTGTAGAGCCTGCATTACTTCCAGCTCCTTCTGTGGAGACATGTACCTCCTACTGCGGTTCCAGCCTTTGTGAAGTAGAAGTGGAGGGGCCTAGGAAAATCAAGAGGACTTACAGACCCCGCTCAATTCAGAGGTCCTGGTTCGGGCAGTTCCCATGGTTAGCCGTTGACCCAGAAGAGACCAAGCTCTTCTGCTCAGCTTGCAAAGAAAGACCGAGTCTCCATGACAAATCATCGCGGCTAGTCCGAGGCTACACGGGGCCTTTTAAAGTAGAGACTTTAAAATACCATGAAGTCAGCAAAGCACACAAGCTCTGCGTCAACCCTTTGGAAATCATGGAAGATAGCCCGCAGGCTCCCCTAGCCCCAGAGGTCTCCAGCAACCTGATGGCAAACATGGAGCACTTTTTCAACGCCGCCTACTCCATCGCGTACCACTCGAGGCCCCTGAATGACTTTGAGAAGACCCTGCAACTCCTCCAGAGCACTGGGACCATGATTTTGGGCAAGTACCGAAATCGTACCGCGTGCACTCAGTTCATCAAATACATCTCTGAGACTCTGAAGAAGGAGGTCCTCGAGGACGTCCGGAAGTCGCCTTGTGCGAGCGTGCTGCTGGACAGCTCCACAGATGCGTCCGACCAGGCCTGTGTGGTCATTTACATCCGCTACTTTAAGGGGATGGAGGTGAAAGAGTCTTACATCACGTTGGCCCCGCTGTACAGTGAGACGGCGGATGGGTACTTTGAGACCATCGTCTCTGCCCTGGATGAACTGGACATTCCTTTCCGGAAGCCTGGTTGGGTGGTAGGGCTGGGAACCGATGGCTCAACTATGCTGCGCTGCAGAGGAGGCCTCGTGGAAAAGTTCCAGGAGGTCATCCCCCAGCTGCTGCCTGTCCATTGTGTGGCCCACCGGCTGCACTTGGCTGTGGTGGACGCTTGTGGGGGCATCGATCTGGTGAAGAAGTGTGACCGGCACATCCGAACCATCTTCAAGTTCTATCAGTCCTCAAACAAAAGGCTGACCGAGCTGCAGGAAGGCGCGGCTGCCCTGGAGCAGGAAATCGTCCGCCTAAAGGACTTGAACGCTGTCAGGTGGGTGGCCAGCAAGAGACGCACACTGAACGCGCTCATCGTGAGCTGGCCGGCCCTGGCCAGGCACCTGCAGAGTGTGGTGGAAGCCGGGGGCCAGACAGGGCACAGGGCCGAGGGCATGCTGAAGCTGATGAAGAGCTTCCACGTCCTCAAGTTCTGCCACTTCCTCTTGGACTTCCTGAGTGTCTACAGGCCTTTGTCTGAGGTGTGCCAGAGAGAGATCGTGCCGATTACGGAGGTGAACTCCACACTGGGACGGGCCTTTGTAGCCCTGGAGACCCTCCGTCACCAGGCAGGGCCCAAAGAAGAAGAGTTCAATGCCGGCTTCAGGGACGGGCAGCTCCACGGCATCTTCTTGGACAGAATGGAGATGGCAGAACAGCGGTTCCTGGCCGACAGGGACAGAATGATCCTGACGGGCGTTGAGTACCTCCAGCAGAGGTTTGACACAGCCCGTGCCCCCCAGCTGAAGAACATGGCGGTGTTTGACACTGTGGGCTGGCCAGGTGGGATTGAACTGGCCAGTTTTGGGAATGATGAGATTCTCGCCCTTGCCAGGTACTTTGAGCTGTCACTCCCCCCAGGGTACAGCGAGGAAGCACTGCTGGAGGAGTGGCTGGGGTTGAAAGCCATTGCCAAGAGCCTGCCGTTCTCCATGCTGTGCAAGAGCACCCTGGCCCAGCACTGCCGCTTCCCCCTGCTCAGCAGGCTGGTGGCCGTGGTGGTCTGTGTGCCTGTCTCCACCTCCTGCTGCGAGCGGGGATTCAGTGCCATGAACCGGATCAGGACCGAAGAGAGGACCAAGCTCTCCAACGACGTGCTCAACATGCTCATGATGACAGCAGTGAATGGTGTGGCAGTCACAGAGTATGACCCCCAGCCCGCCATCCAGCACTGGTACCTGACCTCCTCAGGCCGGCGTTTCAGCCACGTCTACACCTGTGCCCCGGTGCCACCCCGCTCCCATGCAAGTAAGTACACGTGGCAGAGTTCCTGGACATGGGGAAACAAAGGGAGGGAATCTCATCTTCCGAGTTCCATGCTGAGTTCGAAGTCCCGGCCGTTTGCTAGACCAGTGGCTGCTCGAGACATGACACCACCCCTCAGGGAGCTATGACCCAGCTGGAGAGGCAGTATACACACACTGCAGGCACAGGGCGTAGTGCCAAGGGCATGAATTTCCAGAGCTGGCCTGCCCAGGTTCAAATTCTAGCTCTGCTGCAAACCAGTGTTTGCAAGTTAATCTCTTCTGTGCTTTGGTTTTCATTTGTAAAGTGAATCCATACATGTCAGGTGCTTTTACTAATGTCTGACAAGTAGTGTCAATGGCAGTGTAAAGGCTAAGACTGCTACTGGAAGTAACTAGAGGACTGCACGAGTTGGGGCAGTGACATCATTCTAAGTGGGGCCATGTAGATGCTGAGGGTTCCAGAGGGAAGGTCAGTGCAGGGCAGAGGGCTGTGGAGAAGGTGGGGTGTGGAGGAGAAGGTGGGGGCGCCCAGGCAGGGGAGGAGTCGGTGAGGGTACTGCCTACTGGCCTGGGGGGCCGGGGTGGGGACTAGGCTTGAGAGGGAAGTTAGTCATACGGGAGGGCAGCTTACTGAAAGTCGGGAGCAAGAAACTGTCCTCTTTGCAAATAGTTAACTGAAAACCGAAGAGAACGTGATAGGCCTTGAGGTTCCCCAGGCTGTTCGTGTTTTACTTCACAGAGACAAAGCCATGATTTGTCTCTCTTGACATTTTCTTCTAGCTGGTCTCCTTCCTACTGCTTCTGTTCTCATTTTTTACCCCTGAGTCTGTGGTCATCAGCAGTGGACTGGGTCTCAGGGTGGGCTGAGGCTCCCTAGGGAGCAGGGTGGCCCTGGACCTGCAGCTGGGAGGAGGGGAGGGGCCCAGAGAAGAAAAGAGAGGAAGTGAAAAGATGGGGAGCTTTCACCCCAGCATTTGTTAAGTGAGTTGGGGTCTGTGTCCAGCCTGTGGGGCTGAAGGAGAAAAAGACGCTGGCAGCTTGTCCTTTTGCAGGTGGCTCTTCTCCTGGAGACAGTGGGACTAGTACATCTGAAACAAATAGAGTTCACTACCAGGTTTTATATGAGAAAGCCCTCCTTCCCAGGCAGGCTTTCTCAGCCCCAGCGCTGTTGACGTTTGGGGCCAGATCTTCTTTATGGGGGCCCAACCTGTACATGGTGGGATCTTCAGCAGCATTTCTGGCCTCTACCTGTTACACAGCTGCTGGGTGCCGGTAACATCCTCCCAGCCATAGCAGTCAAAAGTGTCTCCACACATTGCCCAGTGTCCCCTGGAGGGCAGCTCCATCTGCCCCCGGTGAGACCCAGTAGATCAGGCCTGCAGCCCTAGTCCTGTCTCCGGTCTGTGCTGCCGTGGTTTTTCCACCGAATATACCATGGGGCGCAGGTGGATGTGGGAAGGAGATCAGCATCTAACCTGTTTCCCCCCGCCTCTGATGGTGCCTTCTCTTTCCTCCCGCTTGAGGGGCGGGGCTCAGGAAGGAGAAGATGGGAGAGCTCTATGTGGAGGGGGCCGTGACCCAGAAGCCGCCTGTACCATCCTACGGGGAACCGGTGGAGATCAGGAAGGACTGCATCATGGACCCTCCCGCCAGACTCCTGTACCCCCACACCAGCCAGGAGGCCCCCGAGCTGTCCTGATAGAGGCTCTGCAGGAGCAGGACTCCTAGGATTACCTTGGAGAGCCCCCGTGCTGCCCTGCCCCTTGGGGTCATGCTGACAGGCTCTCTGCGGAGTGTCAGCTGCCCTAGAACCTTCTTTGGTGGGGACTCCTAAGCACCAGCAAGTAGACAGTGACAAGGTAGTTTTGCCCACATCCCAGAGAGGCAGGGCAACCAGGAGGCACACAGCCTGTTTACCATGGCCCCTCTCTACGCAGAGCGGGGACCTCCCAGCACTTAAATATGCAGAAAAGTTCTTATCTCTAGTTCATTTTTAAGGTGCTTCAGGAAATAACCCCATCATGAAAGATTTCACCCCATGTTCTGGTGGCAAGAGGACTTTTCTGAAGTGGGAGAGATTGTTGGGGGTAGGGGCTTAAAGGAGCACCCCCAGGCCCCTGGAAGGGTGTGGAGTGTCCCAGGGAGGCTGTCCATGGCCTCAGTGGCCTGGGAAAGGCACTGGGTGAGGGGCAGAGGATGACCAGGCTCCGGACAGCTGGCCTGGCTCTGGGATCTGTCACCCTGGTTCCATGGCAGAATCAGGGACACCCTGACTTCAAATGGGAGACTCACGTCAGAGAATTTCTCTACCTTCTGCCTCCAGGGCCATCCTTTAGGATGAGACGAGCAAAAGCCCTTTGCACAGAGCGCTCCAGAGTGCTCTTGCAGCTTCGGCTGGCGGAGGGATATGTCTCCCTGGAGGAGCCGATGCGCTCATCAGCCGCACCACTTGTGTTTGACCTGCGTGGAGCTGAGCCGGCTTCCTAAGGAGTGGACAGGACCAAGTTGCCCTCAGGAGGCTGGGCTCTGGCCCCAGCTCTGCTGCAGGCAGCGGTTCCAGCACGATTAATCCTTGCGCTTTGCTGTGCCTCACTTTCCCTCTCCATGATGTGGCAGAAGAGAGTCCAAGTGCCTGCTGGCTCCCAGCCTGCCACAGGCCTGATGGATGACAGCACCTCCAGCTCCCTGCAAGACAGACGGCTGTGCAAAGGGGACCCCAGCCCGCCAGAGGGGACCCAGCTGCTCTCAGCCTTTGTCTTCATCCCCACCACCACCATTTTTACTGTGGGAAGAGGTGCTCCCTAGACCTGCCATGAGCATGACGGTCTACTCCACTTTTCCCAAAATTGCTCTGGGGACTCAGCCTGGGGCTCCCTAGGGTGCTTGTGAAATAGGCTCCATCCAGACCTGCTCGCTCAGACCCCCAGAACAGGCTCAGCGCCTGGCTGTTTCCAGCAAGGTCCCCAGGAACTTCGTGGGCCCCACTCGCACAGGAGGGCCCCCTTGCCCCATCCCCTCCGCCTGAAGTAAAGCACTTTCCTTTGAGGTCAGCTTCCTTTCGGCAGGCTCCTGGCTGCTTCTCTGGCCGGGGTGGTGTGGCGTCTGGTCCTGCCTTCCTGACCACGGCTGGGAACAGAGAGGCTGGCGGGAAGGGTGCCCTCATCCCTACCTTTCGCTTGTTTCAGACAGGTAGACAGCAGTGCTCCGTCCAGGCCTCGCTGCCTGGCCCCAGCTGGGGTCCCTGCTCTGTGCTGCATTCCAGGCGGTCTGGCCCTCAACTAGCAGTCTGTCCATTTCCCCTTCCTAGAAGGTGCCGAGCCCTGAGATGCTGCTCACTGCATGGCGACCCCCGGGTTCCCAGTGCTTCTCACTCTCCCTTCCTGTCACCTGACCCTTAGCACCTACCCTTAGCGCCATAGCTTTCCAGTTTCCTTCCGCTTTGAGCCGGGAATTCCCTTCTCACTTTCTCCCTATAACCTGTGGAAATGTCTGTCTTCCAGATCTATGATCTGGGGTCTGAGGTGTACCACGGGCCTTTGGAGCTGGCGCTCTAGCAGTGTCACTGTCACACCGCCAAGAGGGAGCCCAGGCCTCTCTCCTCCATTCACATGTTTCCATGTGGAGCCCAGGAATCTGCCCGAGGCCAGGTGCCGTGGGGGCGATTTGGTAGAATGGAAGTGAGAGGGGCCCTTTAAGGGGGGCGTCATAGCCCCTGCCCCATCCACACACAGGGGTTCCAAATTGAGGTGACTTTCCTGCAAGCACCTTCCCCGTGGCATCTTCCAGCCTTTAAGAATCCTCAGAGCAAGAAACTAGTCCTGAGGGCAATGCTGCATGTCTCTCTCTCTCTCTCTCTCTCTCTCTCTGTTTCTCTGTCTCTCTCTCTCTGTCTCTCTGTCTCTCTCTGTCACACACACACACACACACACACACACACACACACACACACACACACACACACACACACACACACACACACACACACACACGGCTGAGGTGGAGGCCAGGTAGGGACACACCCTGCCTCTTCCCTTCTGTGCTCTGAGAAAGCCTCAGTGCCAGCCTGTGAAAAAGCTGAGCTCTTTGGAAATGCTATTTGTCGTGGGGGGTTGCACTCCCCAAGTTTCTCGAGGGGTGTGGGCATACTGTGGCTCCTCTTTATTGGCTAAAAGCAAAGAGGACTACGTGTTTTGTGCAAGACCCCAGGACCTGGCAATCCCCTGTTTAGAGAGGCTTCCTAGTTTTGCCGCACAAGAAAACAAGTTGAAGAGCATTTGGAATAGGAGCAAGCACTCCTCTGCCTTTGCCCAGAGGCCTGGCCATGCCTCCACCCTCCTTCCCTACCTGTAATCTTCATGGCATCTCCACGTTCCCACCCATCCACCGCACCCAAGACTGATATTCTGAGTAACCAGCATTATAACTGACACGTTGTTAATAGCCATAGAGACCAGCTGGGAGGGAGGAACCTCACCCCCAACCCCCTAGCTGGACTCGTTAGAGAGCATAATCTACCCCAGACCTTTTGCTTCTGTCTCACGCCCAGGTTGGCTTCCTGGGATGCTAAGTATTTAGCAGGACAGTGTGAAGATTGGCCAGTTCCCTCATCCAGGTCTCCGTCAGTCAGGGACACTGGGGGTGGAGGGATGGGAGGCAGGGGGAGGGCGCCTGGATGTCCTCCGCCTCTGGTTTCAAAGATGTGCAAATGGGGTTTATAACAGCCACAATTGATTCTCAACGTTTTGCTATCTGAATAAAGCAGAGTTTATTTCGACACATGGCCCGGTCTTGTAATTCCTGTAGCCAGAATTAGGAAACCGGAGAAGCTGATCAAAGCTAACCACAATAGATCCGACTCCTGCGTAAGCTCGCCCCCCGCCCCTCTCCCTCTGCGATGCGCGTCTGCGCGGCTCGGCCCGGCGGAGCGCGCGTCCCTGGGCGGCCCTGTCCTGCTGCGCATGCTCGGTGCTCACTGCCTGGCTGGGACCTTTGCGCCCAGGAGCATCTGCCGCTCCGTCCGCACCCCGGCCTGCGCATTCCTCGCTATGACGGCGCACTCCTTCGCCCTCCCGATCATTATCTTCACCACGTTCTGGGGCCTCATCGGCATCGCCGGGCCTTGGTTCGTGCCGAAAGGACCCAACCGCGGGTAAGGGGCGCGCGCGGGCCCGGCCTCCCTGTGGACCCCTGCCCGGATGGTGGCGGCCCGAGGTGCACGAGCACTGACCCGAGGCGCACCCAGCGCCGCACGCCTTCCCCCGGCTCTGCGCTGGTCTGCGTCAGCCAGGAACAAGCAGGCGGGCGCGGGGGAAAGGGCAGAGGGCCAACTGTCGCGGGAGAGGGTTGCGGGTCCTCCCTCTGGCCAGGAAAGGCTGTGGCTAGCCCCTGGTGCAGTGTGTCCCGGCTGCACCAGCTGTGACCTTGAGCGAACGTCACCCCATCAGGCCTCACTTTCTTCATAGGTAAAATGGGGGTGATGGTGACACCTGCCTTTTAAGGCTGCTGTGAGGCTTTCCCCCAAGTAACGCATGTAAAACTCTTAACGGTGCGTGACACATACTATGTATTGAATAATTTTTAGCCAGTATCATTGATTTGTGATGGTCCCCGAACAGATTTCTGTGCCTGTTGCCCCATTCACCAGTTTCTAATTCATATTATCCTCAGTTGTAAAAGTGCTCTCGCCCCTTGATTCCAAGTTCCTGGAGGTGGGAGATTGGCTTACTGGACACTGCCCAGCACAGGACTGGCCCGTGGTGCTTGGTAATGTTGAAAGAGTAGATCAAGAATGGATTCTCTGGCACTGACTTCAAGTGCTTTAGGCCGCAGGTCACAGGGCCTGGATTAATTAGATGCAGTTTAGCTTTGGCTGGGGGCCGCTTGGACATACTGGCGTTGCCCCTGTTCGTCAACATCTGCAGAGCTGAGGTCCCACAGCTTCACTTGGGAAACCATTTTAGTGTCTCACCTCTCCTGCCTACCTTGGTGAGTTCTTCTGTCTAACTGATGTCTCTCCTGCTGCATTTTAAGCTTCTGTCTCCAGTTTTTTTTTTTTTTGAGTGGACACAGGTGCTCTCTTCAACCGCTCACTCTGTCTCAGAGATGGCTCACCGTCTCTTTGCTTCTTGCCCTGCCTTCTGGCCTTCTGTTTTCCTTCTCTCTGCCCAAAGAATTTTGAATTCCAGAGACTACTCAATGGTGGCTTGCTGCAAATGCAACTCTGTGCAGTCTTTTTCTCAACACGGCTGCATTAAGATGGAGAAATAGTGGGTAAGGGAGAAGGGAGATGAAGGGAAGGGTTTGTAAAGTGACTTGGATGTGATCAAGGTCGGCCTCCCCATGAGGTGACACTTAGCATTTTTATCTTCCATCTGAGGAGAACTCAGCCTCCTGTGTTCAGGTGGCATCGGGGAGGCCAATGGGAAAGGGGCCGACACCAGGAGCTCTTTCTCTGGCTCTGGCCAGGCCTTCGGAGGACACTGGCTCCATCCATTGTCCTGACATCCTCTTCCATTGCAGAGTGATCATCACCATGCTGGTAGCCACCGCTGTCTGCTGTTACCTCTTGTAAGTACCGCTCACCCCAGCTCAAAATCAGTGAATGCCTCTGTCCTCCCTTCCTCCCTCGCCCTGCTCTCCCCGTTGTCCTCCTCCTAGTGACAACTTCAGTTCTTGAAAGGCTGAGTCGGTAAAACGCAGGCGAGAAGGCAGTTTGGAATGTCAGAGAGAGCAATGGGTTGGAAGTCATGAACTCTGGGTTCTGGTTCTGAATGTGTCACCTGGACAAGCTTTGTACCGTCCACAGGCCGCAGTTTCCTCAGTGGGAAATGAGAGAGTTGGGCCAGCTCAGTGCTTTTCATGCTTGACTGGGCATAGAATCCTCTGGAGGGACTGAAACAGCTTTCAGGGCTTCACCCTCAACTCCTAAATCTCGGTGCTTAAGATCTGCCCTTGGCAATTTGCATTTTTAATGTGTGTCTCTGGGAGATTGTGATGCAGCCAGTTTAGAACCATCTGACAGGCATCTGGGGGCAGACAAACTTGGAAGAGGGACCCTGGGGACGTAGAAGAGCATTCTCAAGAACCTGGGCAATGTGTGGGAGACTCAATTTCCTGGTCCTCAACATCCAGGTGGTCTCTTTCTAAAGCTGCCCTTCACGATAGCCCCTCCCCCTTTACAAAAAAGACGTCCCACCCCTCCATCCATCCCCATGTTCTGTTCTGGTTTTGAGAGAGGCCTCTCTCATGATCGCTCAAGCTGTGTCAAGCCTGTGTGGCTTCCCATCTTCCTGGGTCTCATATGCTATTTTTATGGGTTAAAATGGTCAAGTTGGCATAGCGTGGGGTGATTTGAATTCAGACAATCAAAATAGGACAGGTAACGTGATGAAATGTTGATTCTTTAAAAGGTAATAGAGGCTTTTAAAAGTAACAAAGATTTCTCAGGACTCAAAAATTTCAAAAACATAGAATAAAACCCACATTTAAAAAAATTAGCATGATTGATTTCAGATTTGGTACATGTACTATAGTTAAAACCTGTTTTATCTAATTAGATCATGAGCTATTTATTCCTATTAGTCAATTCACTGCTATTTTACTTTATATAATGTTTAGTATTCCTACCTCCTATTAAAAAAAATAAAGCTTGTTAAAAATAATGATGACTCTTAGATATTAGCTTAAATACAATATGGGGACAGTTTTTCAGAACTCTCCCTGGACAGAATGCCTCTAAGGTCCTTTCTCTATGCTCTTTCTTGGTCCTCCAGGGCTTGACAGATGTCCTCATCTGTCCTGGGGAGGGCCCCCGAGTGGCTGTGGTTTGGTGGCTCAGAGAGCAGGACATGGAGGATGGTGGCTGGGAACATGGGGGAGATGGAGCACAGGCAGGACGTGGGTAGTTACAAACACCAAACCCACATGTGGGAAGGAGAAACTGGACTGCCAGTCAGATGCACACAGGCAGAAAGGTGGGGCAACTTAAGAAAACACCATGCCTAGAAATTATATCTACACAACATAAACTCGGGGTAACGCTGATGATAAGCAGGCAACGATTTCTGACAGCTTCCTGGGCGTCCGGCACAGGACTGGCTGCTGTGGAGGGGTTCAGCGGTGAAAGGGCTGGATCCTTCCTGAAAAACCAGACAGCGCCATTGGTACCATCATTTGAGGCGTGCAGAGCTGTGCACCGTTAGGGTATTTGGGGGCCTGCTTCTGGGGGCAGACAAAGTCATGATGGTGGGCCTGACCACCCCCTGAAGGACAGGCTCTGGCCTGTCTCCAGCAGGCCTAGGAGTGGGGCTCTCTTGTCATCACCTCTTCATATTGTGGTAGTTCCTTCATGTTGCTCCTAAAAGGGGGTGATTCTGATGTGGCCCCCCGCCATCAGACCAGCCCTGTGCTGCTCCTAGGTGCTGACTGGGGATGCCCATATTAGGGGTGTGTTAGTGCACAGCTGGGAGTCACTTCCAATGTGCCCCAGGGTCCAGCCCCAACTCAGGGATCTTATAAATCTACAGAACATCAAATCAGACCAAACCTAAACCAAAACCCAAGCCCAGGCGCTGGCTGGAACGTGGCTTGTTCCGCGGATGGCCCCTCACTCCGGAACCCAGACGCTGCGTCTGCTGGGTTGGTCAGGCGACCACAGGCCTTGCATGAGGGGTGCCTGGTAGATTGCTGCCGTGTCCAAGCTCACCTCACTGTGCTGTCCCCGGTAGCTGGCTCATCGCCATCCTGGCTCAGCTGAACCCGCTGTTCGGGCCACAGCTGAAGAACGAGACCATCTGGTACGTGCGCTTCCTGTGGGAGTGAACGCTGCCGCCTCAGCCCAGGTACTGGGGGCTCGGGCCCTGTGGGTGGGGGTGGGAGGGGCCTGGTGTGGAGGAAGAGAACAGGCAGGGCCGCTATAAGGGTTCACCTGGGATTCGGATGGTCATTTATTCAGCCAAAAACAACAACAACAAAAACCTGCTGAACACGTGCTCCCTGCCTGCCTGGCGTTGTGCTGGGTACCAGGGAAGGAGGGAAGACCAGGGTGTCAAGGTGCTTCCCCAGAGGCATGTCGGGCCAGAGGGGGTGGCTGGGGATACACACTCTGCCCTGAGTGAGGGGAGGCCTGGGGCCCAGGAGTGAGGAGATGCTAACTGGACAGAGGGACGGTTGAGATAATCCAAGTGACCAGGCCAGAGGCAGGGACGCGGAGGCTCTCCAGGGAGTGGGTTTCCACAGTGAGGAGGTGACCCTTTCATGTGATGTGCTTTTCAGGTACCCCAGCTCTCTGGATGACCTTGGATCAACCGTTCCTGATGATCTCTTTTTCCTCATCCCCACAGCTGTGTCCTGGTCCCTCTGTGTTCCCTCCCCCTGGGCCTGCCTGATTCCCGGAGGTACCCCCATCCCCAAGCAACCCAGGCCCCGAGCTCGGAGTCAGGCTGGCGTGGGAGAGAGCCCACCCTCACACTCCCACTCTCCCCTCCCAAGCCGATCCTGGAAGGCCAGGTGTCCTGTGGAGAAGGGCACCCCGCCCAGGATACTCCGAGCCTGGGGGGACCAGGCCAAAGGAAGCCGCAGATGGGGCGTCATGTCAGCTCTGGCCTGGTCCTGCTGTGTGGTTCTAGGAGCGTCTCTTCCTCCAGGGCCTCCTCACCTGTGAGGTGGGGGCTCCACCGGGGCGTGTCAAAGGCCTTTCTTGGAATTCTCTAATTTTCTGGCACATTTAGATGTAAAATGTCTGAAATGTTGAAGTAATGGAAAACTATTCACACATACACATATACAAATAGTAATTTGGGTCAAGATTGAAACTTCTACATTTAGTATCCTTTATAGCTATCAAGTTACTAAAATCGGCCTCCTCAGAAAGCTGTACCTTCTCAGAATATCCTGTTCCCTCCTTCCTCCCCTACCTGTCCAACCTCCCACCCCCCTAAACTCCGCTCAGTCCCAGAGGCTCAGAAACTCAAGCTGCTCCTGCCACAGGCCTGGACTCCGCCTCATTCAGCCACAGGCGGGCAGATTTCAGAGCCCCGCACAGCAGCACCTAGGTCACCTGGAGCTGGGAGGATGAAGAGGGATAGGTGTAGGTGAGGTTTGGGCGGCTCTACGAGCCCCTGAGGCCGGGACCAGACCTGTCTGCTCGGAGCGGGCTGGGAGGGTGAGGGCTGGAGAAGCGCCCTGGCTGACGAGGGCTGGGAGGCCGACCTTGCTGACGTCAGACCAGAGGGATCGCGGGACCCCCAGTCCATGCTCTTCTCCCAAGAGTTGAGGCTGAGACCTCAGACGCTTGCCCTCAGTTCCAGAGCTAATTGGGGTTAGCTCTGCCACATTACCTCCTGGGGGGGAGAAGCCAAGCTCATGTATTTATTAACTATTTATTTGATTGCTGTTCCTCCCACGTAGTGGGTGTTGTTTTTGGAACAGCGGTGTCTTTGGAACAATGTGATGACACCTCGCTGGGATTTCTTGGTCTTGGGCTTTGGCCTGTTGCTCAGAGCTCAGGTTGGGGCCTCCTTTGACATCCCACCCATCCCCCTTTCAAACTCCCTTATTGTACTGACCTCCGTGGCCCTCCCGGGGTGGGGGGTGTTGCGTGTGGGTTGTACAGAAAACCGAATCCATGTCTAGTGAGTCATGAGTGGTGGGAAATTACTGTTTGGTGGCAGAGTCCTGGCAAAGGTGAAGTTTGCAGACTACCACCCCTGCCCACCTGCTTCCCATTTCCTCAGTGGGGGGGTTGGGGAACAGGAAAAGGACTGGCAGCTGCTTGGAGCCGCAGCTCTGGGATGTGGACACAGTACATTTTCCTGAGACCTGAAGGAAAGTCCAGCTGTCCCGGATTTTGCCCAGAACGAGGCTGCCGGGTGGAGGAAGAAGACGACGGAGGACTTGTCCAAGTGGAGCTTTGCCCACCACTCATCTGCCCCCAATCACAGAGTGAACGTCTCCTGGGCTGTGCAATAAAGCAGGTCCCCAACATTCCCAGAGCATGGCCTGCCTCATTTCTAAATATGCCTGCTCTGCGCCTGGCCTGGGCGAGGAGCCACTTCCTGCACGTGGCAGGGGGACAGTGAGCAGAAGGACTTGGCGCTCCAAGACCAGAGAGGAGCCACAAGAAGTTTGGGGACAGGGAGGTACATAGAGGAGGGACAAGACCACCAGGGCCCTGAATGCAGCTTGGATCCACCCAAAGGGCAATGTGAAGCTGCAAAAGAGTTTAATGCCGGGCGCGGGGAGGACATAGGCCAATGTGAGTTCTAGGATGATCTCTAACGGTGCATCATGGACAGGAGCGTGGTGATAGGGCCGCAGGTGAGAGGCGGTGAGGACAAGGTGAGTGGGCAGACTGAAGGTCTACTTGGGAGCAAAGGTGACCAGCGTCCTGGCCATGAGTGTGGTGATAGGAGGGGGAGGGAAGGCCGGGATCAATGGGGCCTGCTCTGAGCGGTGGACCCTGCGGTGACCAGTAGGAGGTGCCCCGTCCCTGGCTGCTGGAATGGCTCAGTGATAGGCCACAGAGGAGCAGGTTCCAGAGGGGACATGCTGACGGGTTTCCTTTATCTCCTAATGAGTTGGGTATGTCAAGTCATCCACGTGTAGACGTCCAGTTGAGTGAGTGGTCAGGAGGAAGAGGCGGGAGTCCAGCGTAAAATACTGGAGGACCCCTGAGGCCAGGAGTTGGGGTGCAGAGTAAGAAAAGCCAGAAGAGAGCCCTGGGATGAATGCCTGTGCTCATGGGATGGGCAGGTGAAGACTAACATGGAGGATAGGAGATGTTGTCAAGGAGGCAAGGGAGCCGCCCAATGGAGAAAAAGGCTGAGGTAAGCTAAGCTGCACACACACCGAGTGGCCAGCAGAGGGCAGCACACGCACGCGGGATGGAAACCTCCAGAGAGCCCAGTTTAGGGACTTGTCAACAGGAGTGTCACACTGATGTCTTGGCCTTAGAGCGTGGCTGTTAGTGGGGAGCAGCGACAATTCTCCAGATGACTCCATAGCCTGGATGAAATAAATGTCCATCAAGGATATGTAACAACAACAACCACGCTGATACTTACTGAGTGGTTATCGGGTGCCAGGCGCTGCTTGGGGAAAATGAAGGGCAAAGTGCCTTGCCCACTCCAGGCTCTAATGCCAGGCTCCCCAACAACTTTCTGTGACCTTTCCCGCCTGAACATCCTGAGAGAGTTGGCACATTCCAGTGTAGAATATGGACACCCACCAGCCCAGGTTCTCAATGGGGACGGGGAGGCGCATACAGATTACAGATACTACAGGCCACGGAGCCACCCACCCCTGATGAAGCCTCTAAAGCAAGTTCCTTGGTGCAGTCTGGGTGTTTTGAGCAGAAGTAGGATCATTGATAGCAATGGGAATGTGAGAAGCAGAGGTGAAATCGCGTGGAGACCATTCATGTCTCTAGACACTAAAAAATGTTCCCGTAGTGGTGGTGGTGGTGGTGGTGGTGGTGGTGGGGCAAGTCCCCCCACACACACACGTTGGAAACCACGACTCTAGAATTTTGTCCTCAAGTGATTGATAAAATGTGATCAGTTTATCAACCCAGAGCCCCTGCAAAATGAGGCTGGGAAACCCTAATGGAAGCTGGTATCCTAGGTGCCAGGGTGCCCTGTGAGCCTTTCCCAGCAGGACTGGAGCCTTTGACCTGGAGACCACGCCCTGGGGAGATGGAAGCACTTAAGCTTTAGGGGATTATTGGGTGTCTGAGCAGACTCTAATCCCAGCACCATGTGGACCAGCAATAAACCGGCGGCTCACTGGAGGCCAGGTGAGGGAGGGAGCACTGAACTCAGTAGAACCTTGAGATCAACCTGCAGCCATCTTCCCTGAAAAGGGGCGGTGAGTATGGTTGGGATGGATATTCTTAGAAACCCACAGAACCCCCGCCTCAGCTCCCTAATCTCGGGATCAAGGGCCATGATGGCAGCAAAGCTTTTCTCCTTACCGAAAAGGTCAGTGTTTTGCACCCTGACAAAGACCTGGGAGACATTAGGGTGATGGTTTTCTTCACCTGCCCATCCTGTGTCTCACACAGCAGGCTGCAACCTCGGTCGGTTGTAAGACCAGGTGCAACAGCCATGCCCTTGGCCTGCAGCAATTGGTTCAGCAAACATATTTGTCCCTTCTTTCTTTCTGCCCAGCCTCCCCCAAACCATTCGCCTTGCCTGAGCCTCTCAGCTCAGCTTTGAGGTTGAGAGCGCAGAATTGAGAACTGGGCTGCCTGCGTTCAGATTCCAGCTCCACCGGTTAGCGGTTGAGTGAAAGTTACTTAAATCTTTCTGAGCTTCAGTTTTATTGCCAAGTTGGTGTAATCATAGTGCCTGCCTTGTAGAGGTTGTGAATATGAGCTGAGAGAGTGGATTAGAGTGCCCGGCTCATCAATACATGCCATCTATTAATTGCATTATTTTTACATAGTAACTCATTAGTTCCATGCTGCATTTGTTCTGCGAGGATCCCAGCTTCCTTTGCCTTTTCTTGTTCCCATCGCAGACACCACACTGAGCCATCTTGTGGAAAAGGAAGTGGCAAGCACCCTGAGTGCTGTGATATGTGCGATAGGACCTGGGCAATAAGCGTCACGAAAAATATCTGGAGCTTGTTTATGTATCTGTATTTCTGTTTCACGTCAAGTGTCCTTGACATAATCTATGCATGTAGTGTCCTTTCTATAAAAAACAGGAATGTGAGGGCAGGCTGAGTGGCTCAATTAGTTAAGAGCTTGCTCAAGAGTGCAAACTCTGAGCAACAGCGGTTTGATTCCCAGCCTGAGCTGAGTTGCCACTGAGCTGCCAACAGGTGGCAGGATGGCTCAGCTAACCCCCCCCCACCCCCCAAAATAAATAAAACAGGAATGCTTTGGGGAAGGTAGGGGGAGAGGGAATGGGTAAAATAGATATGCTGATTATAAATTTCTCAAGGAAAAATAAACATGTGAGAAATAACCGGGAAATTTCTGAAAAAGCGGAGTATTGAGAGGGACACTAGCGTGTTGAACAGGCACTTCAAAAATGGATGTGCAAATAGCCAGTAGATACAGAAAAGATGTCCAGTATGTTAGATATAAGAAAATGATGTTACACGTTTATATACTAATTCCTTGTTAGCTCCAAGCCAGGAAGACGTGCAGATCATTACTCTTACTGTGTGCACTCCTGCCTGCACTTGCGCACCAGGCTCGGGTCGCATTGGGGGGTCAGAATCCCGCGGCTCAGGGAGCACCGGGTGGAAGGGACTTTGGGGATCGGTTAGTGGAGGAGGAAGACTAGGCCGTCGGCCCGGAGTGCGTGTCAGCGCATTCCTCAAGGACACACCACTCACTAGTACTAGTAAACTAGTACGAAAGAGTAAGGGGTAACAACGACAGCAGCTCGCAACTTGCAGCTCGGAGGCGTGTAACTCCGTCACTTCCGGCCGCAGAAGCCCGCGCATGCGCACTCGGTGCGGGCCGCCGGTTCGGGGACTTGTGCCACCCGCGCGGCTGCGGTGGGCGCGGAGGCGTCCTCGGGCTCGCGCTCCGGCAAATAGCCCCTTGCGCGACCCGAAAACTGAAGCCTACCCGCAGGCTCCCTTTGGCGCCTTCCGGTGGCTCCTGCGGCGGCGCGGACGGAGGCTCGTTGCTACAAACCGCGCAGGCGCCGTTGGCTGGCGTGGAAGCTGCATCCAGCTTCACGGCCCGGTCTTAGCGGGGCGGCCGGCCCCCTCCCGGACCCCTGGCCTTAGGTAAGTCGGGGATGGAGCATGGTGGCTCCGTTTCACAGCAGTGTACGCCGAGGCTCGGGGTGCGGAGGCAGCTTGCCCGGACCGGCTTCGCCCATTAGAGCGTCCCTTTCCAAGGCAGGCTAGCCTCGCCTTCTCCGTGCCCCGCTCCTAGAACACGCCGGGCGAGGCCAGAAGGGACTGGGCAGCGGCTCGCATCCACCACCCTTCATGTACATGGACTCTTGTGAGAAGTGTCACAAGTAATTTCTTACTAATCAAAGTACCGGAGTTTGTGGGTGATTTTCTCTTTAAATTTTGTGTTCATTGAGAGTCACCGTTGCTTCTCCACAGTGTCAGCCTCACTGTCATCCTGACGTGCTTCGGTGCAAAAGAAGGGTGGCATTCCGGTCGGTGCCAGAGAGCGCAGAAGATCCGGAATGTACCCAGGGAGTCTGCCGGGAATTACGGACCCTGCAGCAGTAGCTTAAGGTAAGCGACCCCCTACAAGACAGAACCTAAATTCCATTGTTGTAGACTCAGTTCACCTCTCAGCCCGCCCGCGGCCCGGCCTGCACAGCACCTTGCACCACTTCTTGTCGTAGCACCATGAGCTCATTTCCCTGGTTGCCTTCTCATCCTGAGCCCCAAATGCCAGCTGGGCAGTTACTCTCCTATATTCGTATCTTTAGGGCACAATCCTGACTCCTGGTAGAGATCTGATGAGTTTTTGTACATGATCGAGTAGATCAAGAGGGTGTGCAGAATACAGATGTAGTGAGGGGACAAGGCTAATTGGGGAACAGAACAGAATTGGTGTGACCCAGGCTGCAGCCCTAACACATAGGATTGGGTTTTTTTCCCCCCCTTTTCTCTACCATCATCAGCGAGGGCAGGTCGCACACAGGCCTAGTTTCGGTACCCGGTTCTGTGTTCTTGGTAGTGGTGAAGCCTGCACATTGCTTCTGGAGGCCCGGTGCCCGCTCTGGTCTTCCGTTCTGCCGCTGACCATCACGTTAGCACTCTGGGTTTCTGTTTCTTCAGTCATAAAATAAGAGCTGAGGTAAGTCCCCTCCGGTTCTGACATCCGAGGGCGCGCCTTCTGGGACCAGGGCAGTGTCTTGCATTTCATTTGTACCTTTATCCAGCCCCCGCACAGCGTCACCTCCCATGGGGCTCCAGACATTTGCTTTGGTGGTAGCTGAGTTCTTGAGTGGCAGGTGTGAGGTGATTGTCTCTCAGTCCTCTGAGGCTCTTCCAGATGGAAGGAGCCCATCGGTATCGTGTCGCCCACACTCCTCCCTAGGCAGAGTCTCAGCATAAGCCGCCTCAGTGGGCGTGTCACCTGCAAAGGCAGGCCTGCCATCCCTGGTGGCCCTTCTTAGTGTTGACCATCACTCAGTGTCAGAATGTACTGGTTCTGAATATTGTTTAACTTACATCTTGCTTTAGTCTGAAGAGACGAAGATCACTTCCTTCCTGAAGTTTGTGGTGGGACCATTAAGCCACCTTCCCCTGAACCTTCTCTTTCCCAAGGAAGCACGCCCTCGCTGGCCAGGCTTTTCCTGCCCTTTCGTTTTCTCTTCTCTCCACGTATTTCTCTCCTGACTTCGTGACTCTTTTCTTTTGAGAGCCTTGAATTTGACCTGATCTCCAGGAAAATGAACAAGGGGAGAGGAGTTAAGGGTTATGCTTCAGTTTGGGATCTGAGCATCTGATGTGCCCTGTTGACCAAGGTTGAGTTGGCTACAGGAAGAGCAGGTGAGCCAGAGAGCAGTCGCAGGTGCGTAAGTGCGTCAGGGAGGAGGTGAAGTCGTCCTGGGAGAAAATATAGAATGAGAGGAGGGGTCCTAGGAAGGAACCCTGGGAAACGTCATTAAGGAGCAGTCAGGGAAGAGGGACCAGAACAGAGACCGAAAAGGCGGCACAGGTGAGAGGAACACCAGGAAAACGTGTCGCAGGGCCACGGGGAAACAGCGTTCCGAACGAAGGCCGCGGGCCGGTGCTTTGGTGTTACCCACAAGTCCACTGGAGGTGGTACCAAGGGGCCGCTGGGGGCCTTGGCGAGAGCAGTGACTGGGAGCGGTGGGGGCCACAGCCAAGGAGGAGTGGCTTTCGAGGGGAGTGGGAGTTGAGGCAGTACAACCGGCCCTTCAAGAGCGTCTCTGTGACAGAGAAAGGATAATGAGAGGTGACACTAGGAGGCCGCATCCTGTTCTCTGCTGGAGACTGATTTCTAGAGAAGGAACATCAAAGAATCTAAGCCAGGCCTCTGGCCCAGGAAGCCGCAGGCTGCATCACTCCCCAAATACCTATGTCTGGTGCCCCGCGGGTGCCAGGGATCTCCAGGTGTTCAGGCTCAGCTTCCTCCTGACCTGCGCCTCGCCTCGTGCTTGCATCTCGCCCAGAGAAAGTGGCCTGACTTCTTGGCCAGGCCAGCCCCGCCCTGGGCTCTCCCAGCCTCGCGCCTGCTCCTTCGTACCTGCACTGTGGCTCCATTTCTACATGTCGTGAGCAACTCTTTTATGCGTGTCTGTCCCTCCCACCAGCCTGGAGGCCGCGTGCACCCGGGGGCTCTGCCTGCTTTACACTGTATGCACCCTCAGGAGAGCTGCCAGGAGCGCACTAGGGTCTCACTAAACACTGAGCGGAAAAAGGAACATCAGTTAGTTTGGCAAAGAAGATGGACCCAACTGCTGTGCACAGGGCTGTGGGGGTTGCGGCTAAAGGCTGAGGCGTGCACAGCGGTCTTTGCTCAGGAGGTCGGGTCTGATTTCCTATTGTCTCTACACCTTTTGTCCTCTGCTGTCCTCTCTGCCCCCTGGGCCTCACCTTCTCCCTCAGTGTTCCCCAGAGTTGAGTAGGGCAGCTGAGAACCATTCTTTTCATCTTGCTTTGCAGCCTGGGCCCATCTTCTCATTTCCCCACGTTCCCAAGCATGGAGGAAGTAGGAAAAAATCAGAAAATTCCCCAGGAGGCATGTATGCACAGGACCTGATGCCCCCCATGACCAGACCCAGGAGTCCAGCTGCCACAATGGCTTCTCCTGGCTCCGAGTTCAACACCAGAGCTACCAACACCTCTTGTGGACTTGAGTGGGATGTCGGGGGGGGCCTGACAGAGACTCAGGTCAAACTTGAGTTTGTAGACATAGAAGGGAGGGCTGGCAGTGGCCACAGGAAGATCAGACCTGGCTCCCAAAAGGGGAGTGCGAAGGGTCTGTTCATAAAAAGGAGGAGACCCCTTTCTCCCCGCAGTGGCTCCTTCATCCCTTCACCTGGCCACGTGTTACTGGAAGAGCAGGAAGAAGGTGCCCTGGGCCTCCAAGTCTGCAGCGAGAAAAGAGCCCACTCCCCAGGGAGGCCTGATCTTCACCTGCCTGCCCCCCATGCAAAGTGCCAGGCCAGCCTGGGGCAGAATAAGCTGAAGAGAGACTATGGGTTCTGTGGCTTCAAACCTGTGCTTGGGCAGGAGCCCCTTGTGCAGCCTGAGAAGAAGGTGTCCAAGCAGAAGGCACGTGGACGGAGAGGGGTGGGGCAGCCGGCAGGAAGGAAGTCGAGGGACCCGGTGCTCATTTCTGGCCCCGCTCCGTCTTCCCCGGAGCTGGCCCAGGCAACCAGCCTGGACAGGCCAGAGGCGGGCCAGCCTAGTGAGAATAAGGAGGCGAGGCAAGCAGACATCCTCATAGCGCTTTTGCACAGAGAGGTGCGACGCCTCAAGAAGTGGAAGAAGAGGCATTTGCTCCCCGGTGTAGGGGAGAAGTCACCCCTGCTGAGCCTCCAGAAGCCACCCTGCCTGAAGAAGATGATCAGAACTATCACAGCAGAGACTCGGGGCTGGGCTTCTCCTGAGCATTCCCCGCGGCCTCGTGACCCCACAGGTCAGAAACCCACGTTAGATGTCAGAAGGTTCTTTACCATCGACTGCAAGAACAGCTGCCATGTCACCTGCACTCTGTGTCACGCCAGCATCAGACAAGGCAAAGTTAAGGGGAAGTCCGAAACCTCACGCCTGGTCCGTCACTTGGAGAGTAAGCATGGGCTGGAGTGGGAAAGAAGGCCAACTTCAGCCAGCCTAGGGGGCAAGGGAGGAGGGGGAGAGGAGGAAAAGCAGAAGGGCCTGCTCGCAGGTGCCACCAGCCTTGTCCATGAGCGGCTCCTGGCACCAATATGCTGCCCAGATGCCTCTCCCTCAGAAGATAGTGATGGGCGGCCGGCCCCGGGGAGGCATAAGCAGCTGTTACTGGCTCCACCACCCCTGCCTACTCCCATCAAAGACGAGCCTGCTGCTACCCCCATGGCAGTCGGGGAGAGTCAAAGTGGCAAATACGCTCCCAACCAGTCCCGCTCCCAGGCCTGGAACCAGAGCGTCGTGGAGTTATTCTGCAGCCTGACTTTGCCACTGTCCTTTCTTTCGTCCCCACCCTTCAGACGGTTTATGGCCCAGCTCGACCCTTGCTACCCCCTGCCGACTCCAGCCTTCTTCTCTGATAAAGCCTTGCCTCTGCTTCACGAGGCGATGGGGGAGCAGGTGCGTCAGGAGATGGAGGGGGCCAAGGGTGGCTGCATCCACCTCACCATGTCCATGGCAGCCCAGGATGTGGTGCTGGAGGACTACGTGGCCGTCGCTGCCCACTGGGGAGTGATACAGCCAGGTAGCCGGCAGGTAGTGTCGGGGAGCCTGAGGAAGTGCGCGGTGCTCTGGGTCCGAGGCCTGCCCCTGGAAAGCACTTCAGAGGACAGGCAGCAGGAGCTGCGGCAGCAGGTTGGCCTGTGGCTGGGTCAGGGCTCCCTGCGACCCGGCTTCCTGGTATCGGGCGGCTGCCCCAGTCTGGAGCAGGCAGTGAGGCTGGAGGGCTACACGCATGTCCCTTGCTTTGCCCACTGCCTCAACTCCCTGGTAAAAAACTTTCTGTGTCACCATCATAGTGTCCAGATCATCCTGGGCACAGCCAGGACCATCTGTGGCCATTTCCAGGGCTCAGCAGAGGCCCGGTGCCGACTCAGGCAGCTGCAGCTGCAGTTTGGCCTTCCGGCCCACCAGCCCTTTTGGGAGCTCTCAGACCACTGGGTCTCAGCCTACCGCCTGATGGAGTGGCTGGTGGACCAGCAGCAGCCATTGCAAGAGTATGAGGAGAAACACCAGCTGGGGAAGGCTGGGATGGCCCTGTCAGCCATGTTCTGGAGCCTGACGGACAGTCTGGTCAAGCTCCTGCAGCCCTTCCAGGCGGTGGTCCGGGAGGCGAGCACGGCGCAGGCTTCCTTAAGCCAGGTGTTGCCCCAGCTGCGCTACCTGCATATCTTCCTGGAGCAGGTTCACAGGCACTTTGAGGAGCAGAGCGATGGGGAGATGGGTGCAGCTGTCCGGCTGGCGGAGGGCTTGGCCCTGCAGCTCTCCACAGACTGCCAGCTCAACGAGCTCTTCCACCGCGAGGAGTTCGTGCTGGCCACTCTACTGGACCCCCGCTTCAAGGGGCGGATCGAGGCCATTCTGCCGGTGGGGGCAGACATTGACCACTGGAAGCAAGTTCTCGTGTACAAGGTGAAGGAGATTATGGTGTCTGAATACTCCTTGCCCCCCTCACCCTCCCTGCAGAACCCCAAGGCTGTGTGTGTGGATGCCACCTCCAGTGGCAGAAGAGCCAAGGGCCCTGGCACCGAGGGGAAGGGCCAGAAGGAGCCTGTGCAGAGAAGTGGCAGCTCTGGGCCCTCGCTGCTAGGCCAGAGGGAGAAGAGCTTGCTGGAGCAGCTTGAAAGTGTAGGGCTGCTGGCGTCCCAGAGGAGTGGAGCCTCACTTTCCACCGAGAACCACCTGGCCAGCGTCATCGTCAAGAGGTACCTGCGTGAGAATGAGACCGTCAGCGCCCAGGAGGACCCCCTGGCTTACTGGGAGAAGAAGCGGGAAGTCTGGCCAGCCCTGGCAAGACTGGCTACCATCTATCTGTCCTGCCCGGCTACCAGCGCCTTCTCTGGAAGTGTCTTTGCCTCCCTGGACAGCCCCACCATTGCGGAGCACAGCTCCCCTCTCCCGGTGGAGACGGTTGAGCATCTCCTCTTCTTGAAGACTAACCTGGAGAATTTCCCCCACTACACGCCCCCACCCCTTATCTTCCCCAGTGGAGACCTGGCCAAGGGGGAGCAGACCAGGGAGTCTGGCCCCACGGTCGGATGCCCTCAAAACCTGCCTGGAGGAACTCTGCCGTAGATGCAAGGAGAGCAGAGTGCTGCTGTGCCCAGCACGTCAGACAGGGACAGGCAGAATTTTAAATCTGCTTGGGAAGAATGGGGACAGTTTCTCAATTCTTGACAGGTTGCCTTTTTTTTTTTTTCATGGAGAGCTCATTTTCCACCTACCCATTGCTTGATTTGTTTCTAGCACAGTGTGCGTAGAAAAGGTTTACTTTGTTCATAAGGGTCTGAGTTGTACTGGACGGTTTTATAAGCGGTGATGCTCTTTTGAAATATCGGCGGGTGTTAAAGGACCTACATACAGCTTGTCCATGTGTGTCAAGGGATACATGACCTTAAGAGGTGTGCTTTCTCCTGGGACAGGGACAAGGGGAGGTGTGTGTGCTGCCATATATACTCAGTGGAGTATGTACTCAGCCACCTGGAACCTGGGTGAGCTGTGAAAGCTTTCTGAAATTGCTTTCGTTGTTGAAAGGAAGAAACCCTAAGCTAGAGGAGCTGTTTTAAGAGTGAGGTATAGGCACACGCATGCGCGCACACACGCACGTACACATCAGTCTTAGAGCCTGTACTTCCGGTGGAAGTGGTCAGAGCACTGATTGATGGGACCGCCCAGCTGATGAGGGAGAGTGAATTGAGAGCTGAGACACTCAGTCTTCAAAATGTTCTCACCTGTAGTTGCCTCCAGACCGCTGGAAACCTGGGGGTTTCTTCCTTTCTGCAGTGATAGCGGCCTCGGAAAGAGCTTCCACACTCACCCCGACTCTGGGTGGCTGAGTATGCATGCCACCGCAGCACCCACACCTCCCGTTGTTCCTGGCCACTTTCAAAGAGCAAATCCCCTACCGGGAAGTGAGAAGGGCTGTGACTCAGACAGACCAATAGTGGACCGCCCAGAGTTCTGTAGGACCCGAGCACAGGGGACCCAGGGCCGCTGGGAGAGGGGAGGAGGACTCGGGCAGGCCTGTGTCACCCACAGGTCCGGCTCTCGTGAGGTGCTGGGTTGCTAGGAAAGGTGGCTCTGAGAGGCGAGGCACGGTTAGGGTTAGAGTGAAGCTCAAGGCCTAGCTTGCGGTTTGGCCCTGGCCTTGGGGGGAGTCGGGAGGCCTGTCTCCCTGCCGCCTGGAGGCGTTGTCAGTGATGTGTCACTAGGACTGGTTCACTGTAGGACATTTGGAAGTTAGAATGTAAGGAAACAGAAACAAACTCATCATCGTCCTTTCACGCAGCCTCCTAGCACGTTGACGCTTCCTTTCTATACCTTGAGATCATACCCTCTGGACTAGTTAATATGCTGTATTTTCATTTTAACAGTAGAATAAGCGTACCTTTTTAAATAAAGCTTTGTAAAGACCATGTTTAATGGAGTAGCATGATTTGAATTAAAGTCTGGCCTCCAAATTGCTTAGGCCACTTCTCTCCCCCAGCTGTTGGGAGGGGATGTGTTCACGGGCTCCCCTGTGGTGGCAGGTGAGGCTTGTCTGGGGGAGGGCCCGGGACCGTGGCTGCACACCTTATATCCCTACCTCGGAATCAGGTGCCCATAGGTAGTAAGGTCAGGGCGTGGCCCTGGATCTCTGCCTGCCTCCCTTCCTGAAATGTACGCGTGGCTCAGACTTCAGTGAGAATCACTTGAGAGCCGTGGGGTCCTGTACCTCCTCCCGAATTCTGATTCGGGTGGGGGGCAGGAATGTGGTACGCCCTAACACTGCCCTAGGCTCTTCTCAGAAGAGGCCGGTCTGTACTGTGTGGCACCACTGAACTGGCTCAGTGTTGGGGGAGAGGGGGAGGCTGGCATGGAGGGGCAGTAGGGGTGGGGATGTGAGGGAGCTGGGAGGAATGAAAGGAAGAGGAGACAGAAGCTTAACAGTCCCAGGCTCAGGGGCAGCAGTAGTTCTCAAGTGGGGGCATTTTTGTCCCCAGGGGCCATTTGGCAATGTCTGGTGACATTTTGCTTGTCACAGCTGTGGATGGAGGAAGGGATGCTGCTAACCACCCTGCAGTGCACCAGAGAGCCCCACAACAAAGACGAACCCGGCCCCAAATGGCAGTGGTGCCAGGATTGAAGAACTCTGCTCTAGATTGGGGTCGGGAGGAAACGGGGCAGAGGAAGGGTCCCCAGTTCACCCAAGCAGCCAGGTGACTGTCCACCTGAGGCTGCTCCGGGTCAAACCATTTCTGCCCTGGACTTGGCTCTGCCCTGGCTGACTTGGGGGCATCATTTTTCAGCCCATTTCCTACATAAGTAAACTGACGGCGAAGGCTGACTGAACAGGGAAGATGGACCTCCCGAGTGTCGACTGTGTGTTAGTCATAGTCTCATCCGCGTAACCGAGTCCTTTGCGCAGACGCACATGTTGGGCCAAGAGCTCCTGTTGGCTCGTTTCTGTAACAGGACCCGGACGACTCCCGTTGTTTAGAGAGGAATGTTGATACGGCAGATGTAAGTGGGCCGTTGTTCCATCGTGCAAAGCCTGCTGTCTGCCTGTACGTTACAGGTGGGTGGACACCGGCTGTCCTCAGTCCTGCCCAGACCTGCTTGGTTGAGGTGTGCAGGTTTGAGGTAGGTGGGGACCATGAGCAGCGCAGAGGTCATTGTCACAAAGTCTCGCCTCCACTGTGGTTTATGTAACCACAGGTGAGGGTGCGGGACTCCGGGCTGGACCGCTGCAGAGCCCTGTACTGGGTCGCATGTCTCCTGCCAGCGGGACTTTGGGGCTTAGAAGGTCTGATTTCCAGCCTTATCGTGATCTTTCTGCTCCACTGTTTTCTGCAAAAAGCCTGCCTCCCAGCTTTAAGGCGGGGTGCGCACGCACAGTTCTCGCCTCTGTCCCTTGTCTGCCTGCTCCCCTCCGTCTTTCCCCTGCTTCGCATCCACCGTATCCTTCTAAACAGTCACAGCCCAGCTCCTCAGGGCGTCGTGCCCTGACCCTCGTGGGCTGGCTGTGGCCTCGTCCGCCTGACACTGTTGCACCCAGCACCTCGCCTCGTCTGAGTCCCTGCGGCGAAGGAACAGTGTTGATTGTTCTGTCCTTGAAAGTCCCAGTTTCTCCTCTCTGTCCGCTCAGCCACATCCTCATTCAGCCTCCTCAGTGTTAGTGTTCTCCCGACTTCTGCTCTGACCTCTCTTTTCCACTGTACACCAGGGGTCCCTGACCACTTTCACCCCCAAATAGTGCCAATTCTTGGAGAGAGGGCTACCGATGCTGAAAGAGGTGTGTCCCCCAAAAGGGCTGGCCTGCCACGCTGCACGCTCACCAGGCACCTTTGCAGGTCATGCCTGCATCCCTTCAGACCAGAGGCCAACTGCCTCTGCAGCCCGAGGCCGCACCACCCCCTCAAATGATGTCTTCTTACCTCTGGCCTGTCGCTTCTGCACCCCATGTGCTTGAGAAGGAAAACCCTGCATCCAGTCACGTGGCCGGGTCTGCATGTTGTTCTAGACTCTCCTCCCCGCTCTCGCTCTACTGTCCTCAGCAGGGTCCTTGTCCTGATAGCGCTGTTGTGGCAGGTGCCTAGTGCCCTCGAGCACCCCATCCTCTGCACAGAGCAGTGCTAACCAGATGCCCAGGTGACGGCACCACTCCCTGTGACAAACCCCAGCAGACCCCATTTGCAAAGGGTGAACCAGCTCTCTTAGTAGATGCTTCCGGTCCCTTTTGAGTACTTGGAGTGTTGCAGACTAGAGGGGAGCTAGGTAGAGACGCAGGGACCCCTTCTCAGAGATGGGGGTGGGGGTCCTCTCTGTTAGCAGCCTCCCCAACTGCCTGGCGGGGTGGGAGGAGCTCTGGGCCTGGTTTCCTTGGAGAGGGGGAAATACAAAGTGGCCTTGGTTATGTAAATGCAGACTTGGGACCCTAACACTCTGGAGTCCCACGTTTTGTCAACAGGAGTGAATGTTCCCATAGTTCTTTGCAGGCGTCACCCTGCTTGGCCTGGGCCTAACAGAGTCTGCAGAGTTGGGAAGCTGCCACTTGGAGCAGAGGTCCCTTCTTGTTTTCCTCTCTGCTGAAACCTTGACCCCTACGTGGGTGGCAGTGCCCCTCCCCCAGGAGGCCTCCCCCCTCCTGCAGTCTTGCACTGGCTCCTGGGCTTACGCTGTCCCACAGCCACTGGTGACCTTTCTGGAGCCAACTTTGGTGCCACTATGCCCCTCCTTCCAGGGTGCCCCCCACCCCCAGCCCTCTTGCTTTCTTTGGAAATGACGTCATGTTTGCAGCTGGAACCGAGCTGCCTGGTACACAGTGACTGATGCTGTTCTGTTGACACCAGAGTAAAAAGCTAGTTCGGGTGAGCGGGTATGGGGGCATTGGCAGTGCTGCCTCTTGTCCCCAGGCCTTCGCTGTCCCGTCCCTCCCTCCACCTCAGTTCCCTCGTCTAGGACTGAAGGCTGGGCCTCTGAAGGCCCAGAGGCTACACATTGGCCCATGTGATCCAGAAACCATTTGGAATTCACCGCTAACATTAGAAAAATGGAGTCAAGGCAGTGTTTGAGTGAAGAAAGCCAGGGCCAGGTGCCCTTGTTTGTGTTTGCATATGCACGGCTCTCCCAGGGTGGGAACAAGAGAGAGGTGATGGTGGTGACCTAGTGCCTATTCAGAAATATTTTTAAGTAGTTACAAAGAAACACCTTAAAACTAATGAGGATGCATCATGCGTGGTTACAGAAAAAGTGAAATTGCCAAGTTTTTGCCCCCAGTGCAGGTTTAGAAAATGAGAAGACTTGGGAACATTGGGCCTGAATGCTGTCTGTCTGTCAGGGCCCATGCTGGGTTGGGGGCCCCTTAGGTGGGCCTGGGCCCAGCCCACCTCCCTCAGAGGGGCCATGGTCTTCTTGTATCTTGGACTTGGGGCCTCAGGTCTTGCCAGGCCACCTGAGTCTCTGGTCCTGGTGGTAGAGGCTGGGTGGTACTTTGTATGGTCGCCTGCTGCAGGGTCCCAGGTGCTCGGGAGAGGCTGCTTACTGTTTAATTGTCTCTCCTTAGGGACCTGCTGGCCCTTGAGCAGGGTGTTGGAAACAGGCCTGTGGCACTGGCCCAAGCCAGTTGATGGTGCCTTTTTTGGGGTGAACGGCCAGCTGACCCCCAGTGGTACTTGTGTCGTGTCCCTGTGACAGACTGTCAAGGCCCAGGCCACCTAGACCGACTTCGCTCATGGAGCCACAGGGTGAGAAGCCAGGAGAGGCTGACGGGGTGCGCATCACGCCTCAGCTGCTCAAGTCACGCTCGGGCGAGTTTGCCCTGGACTCCATCCTGCTGCTGAAGCTGCGAGGCTTGGGGCTGGTGGACCTGGGCTGCCTGGGGGCATGCCTGGGCCTCGAGTGGCTGGACCTGTCAGGCAATGCGCTTACCCAGCTGGGCCCACTGGCCTCCTTGCGCCAGCTGGCTGTGCTCAATGTCGCCAACAATCGGCTGATGGGGCTGGAGCCGCTGGCCGCCTGCGAGAACCTGCAGAGTCTCAATGCAGCTGGCAACCTGCTGGCCACCCCCGGCCAGCTGCAGTGTTTGGCCGGACTGCGGGGCCTCGAGCACCTGAGGCTCCGGGACCCTTTGGCCCGGCTCAGCAACCCGCTTTGTGCCAGCCCCTCCTACTGGGCGGTGGTCCGCGAGCTGCTGCCCGGCCTGAAGGTCATCGATGGTGAGCGTGTGACTGGGCGAGGTAGTGAGTTCTACCAGCTGTGTCGGGACCTGGACAGCTCCCTGTGGCCCAGCTCCAGCCCAGGCCCCAGCACTGCTGAGGCCCAGCCCTGGGTGGAGCCAGGATACTGGGAGGCCTGGCCCACCCGCAGCAGCTCCATCCTGGAGGAGGCCTGCCGGCAGTTCCAGGACACACTACAGGAATGCCACGAGCTGGACCGCCAGGCCCAGGACAGCCTGGCGCAGGCCCAGCAGGCGCTCAGCCCTGTGGGCACCACCTCATCCTTTGTCTTTTGAATATGCTCCATGGCGTGGGACAGCCTGGCCTGTGGCCGTGGGGTCGGCGCAGTGTGGCCTAGCTGCCCACATCCTCCCTCCTGTCTCTGCACTGGTCTTCAGGGTTTCATCACGCCGGTCACTGGCCAGCAAACTGCTATTTGCTTATCCCTGTTACTAAAAGCAGCCCCCTCCCTTCCACTCCTACTTCAAGGAAAATTCCACACCTTCCTTCAACATTCTTCAGGGAGGCACCTCCCCAGTGGCCTCTAGCAGGTGTAAGGGCCCTCACAAGCAGCTGGCACCTGTCCTGCCACCTATGCTGTGTGCCTGGCAGGCCCCAGGCCATGTCCACAGCTGCTGCTCGGGCCTAAGACATAGTGGAAGGATGCTTTGTTTCCTAAGGTCAAAGGTGGCAAAGGCAGGGATGGCATCCCCTGTCCAGAGGTCCTGGAAGAGGACGTGCAGCGCCCTCCCAGAGCGCAGAGCATGCAGGCTGCCCTTACCCACCTGCCACATCTGCCTGTCCAGGTGACCCTCCGCTGTGGTCCCCTGGAGCCTTCATTGCCCATCGTCACCCACGCTAACCCCTATTAAACATTTCTGTTTTAATTTGCATCACTGCCTGTCATTTCACGTGGGCATGAGCTCCTAAAACCAAGCTCTGGTCTCTCCTGCAGAAAGGAGGAGCACACATGAGGCCCCCTGCCTGTTTTCTGGGTGTCCAATAGGAAGTACCCTCCTCCCCCTGGGGCTTGGCTCCCTCCTGCAAGAGTTTCCCGGCCTTTCCTCACTCACTTGGCCGCCTACCAGTTGAGCTGAAGGGAGGACAGAATGTGATGCAAGGGGAGGACAGAACACAGCTCTGAGAGCAGTTTTATTCGCGTGGGGAGAACGGGGTCATCCTCCAGGGCACAGCGAGGGTTGCTTCACTGGCTCACTCCCACAGCTGTCCAGAAAGCCAGATGACATTCTAGAGGAAAAGCAAAACCAGGATTTGGGTGTGAGAGACGCTGTTCTGGTCCTGGTCCCAAGTCCCTCCCCTCTCTCCTCCCGCAGCCCAGCACCCCAAACCCCACCCAGGGCTGTGTCCGCTGCACCGTCCTCTCACCCACCTGGCCACCTGCCGGTCAGCCATCAGCCTTCAGGAAGGCGAATTGCCCTGGGAAGTAGTAGCTTTGGGGGTCCTCACCACTGCTCTCCACCTTGCTGCACTTGGCCTCCTGGTGCTCCACGGGCTCCTGCCAGCACCGGCATCGGCTCAGGCCCATGCAGCAGTGCCCAGGAGCAGTGCCCAGGGAGGGGAGGGTGGCCTCATCCTCTGCCTCTGCTGTGCCCACCCCCACAGCCCCTCGGGAATAGCTGGGCCAGGCCAGAGCCTTTCCTCACCCGCTGCTCCCCCTCATTCTTTTCACCCCTCTTCACCCGTCTTCACGCCTCCTTCTCCTCCTCCCTCCTGTGTCGCAGGCCCAGCTTCTGTTCGTCATGCCCGCCGCCTCCCCAACCTCTCTGCCTGCTCCTCTGCCCACTCTTACCCGTTCAGCCTGCGCCTCTATGGGGCAGTGGACCATCCGGCCCAGGACTTTAGACTCCCGGTCCAACTTGATGCAGACCAGGCATTTCCGCTTCCTCTGCAGAGGGGGCCATGGGGCCAGGAGAGGAAAGGGGTGAGGGCAGGCCTGTGGCTCCATGAGGGTGGGGGCTGGGGGCTGCTTCCCCTACAGGCCCGAAGGCGGAGGGGCGAGGGTCCTGCAGGCCAGCTGGTGTCAGGTGCAGCCCACCCTCGGACTAGGGAATTTCACAAGTCAAACAATGCTGCAGTTTTCAAACCTTTGGAACTTGAGCGTGTATGTGTTGGGGGGAGGGGAAGCGGGCAGGAATCCGCCAGCAGCTTTTCCCCACCTGACTTCCACCAGACCTGCTCTGCTGTCATTTATTTGCATTTTCTTGTAAGATTTGTTTTGAGCACAAGGCTTTTGGCACGAAAGTCTGGAAAACCACTGGTATAATCCAGCCCCTCCCTTAACAGATGGTGGGGACAGTGGCCTTCAGAGAACCTACAAAGCCACAGGGCTGGCTGGTGCTCGGATAGCCAGGTCTAGAACCCGGGATGGTTGCACTCCCAGCCCAGGTATCTCCCCCAAAGCATGGCTTGCCCCCAAGGTGAATGGTTCAGTTATGCCCCATTACGGAGCAGCCCAGGCTGGGCCATCTCCACTCAGAGACCCACAGAAAACAGAATTCACCAGGCCTGGGGGCCAGACCAACCCATACCTCGGGCTTCCACCAGTGGCCTGAAGCCTGCGAGCGGAATGCAGACGGCAGTTGTCCCCCGTCCCTCACACCCCTGGCCTGTCCGGGCCCAGACCACCCACACCATCACAATCACGGGCTCCACAGTGGGGTCTCCAACCTCAGGGCTTCTTGCTAGATCTCCAACCAAACCCCAATTACATACACTCGCACCCGAGCAAGTGCTTCACCACACATGTACACGCACCCCGTTGGACTTGACTTTGCACTCAGCTTTTCTCCAGTCCTTCTTCCCACAGCTTGTCTGCTGGAGCTTGAATTCCAGCCTCACAAATGTCCCCGCCGGAAAGGACTACCGACAGAGAGACAGACAGACAGACAGAGGAATGCCAGCAGCCAGCTGAGCGTGCGGAACAATTCCTGGCAGTGACCCTCCTCTCCTCCCCACAGTGGACAGCACATTTGAGTAGGTGGCCGGGGTGGTGGCCTTTCTCCAGAGAGCAGGTGCTTACGGCCAAGTGCTTCTGCACGTGCTTCCTGGGAATGTGCTGGCGCTTGGGGGTGCAGCCCTACCCCCACCCCTGCATGGGTCAGTGCTGCTAACCGTTTCTGTGGCACTGTCCATACTGGTCTTCTGGAAGGCCCACTGCACACGCGGGTGCTTGTGGAATTCCTCCAGGGCCAGCTGCAGGCCCTGGTGCTGGATGGCTGTGAGCTCAGCCCTGCCCACGCCCACTGTGCCCAGCCACAGGGCCAGCAGGATCAGCGGCCTCCACATGGCTTCACCTCAGTCACCCTGGTCCTGCAAAGGGTGTGTGTGATCCTCAGCTCTTCAGACCAACCAGTGGAGCCATCAGACCCCGGCTCTGCACTCGGGGACCATGCCTGGCAGAGCTCTGGGCAGAGGTGGAGGGACAGGAAGTGGCCCTTTGCTGAGAGTCCACTGGTATTCCCCTGTCCTTCACTCCTCCCCACCCTGCCTCCCACTGTTCGCTGGGTCCAGCTCAGCCCAAGTTTGGCCCTGTCCTGGGTGGGTGCTGAGTCAGCTTTGGTCCTTGGCCAACAGCCAGGGAAGCAGTCCTGTTGCCCACTCCTTCCCCTCCCCCCGTTTCTGGCCCATCCTCCCCACTGCCCCTCTCTGCTTTCCCCCATCCCAGCCTCTCCAGCCACCTCCCCTTCCCACCCTGGGTCTGCGGGCTTCCAGGTCCCAGCCTCGGGCTCTCATCTCCCCGCCCCACTGGACGACTTGGTGGCGGGGTGGACTGGGGGGTAGAAAGGAGGCCTGTTGGAGGCTGAATATTTTTGGAAGAACGCAAACACGTGGGAGGAGCCAGAGCTGGGTGGGAACCCAGGAGGATGCTTAACCCTCCCTGTGCTGGGACTGCCAGTTGCCATGGACCCTGCCCCTGACCCAGAAATGGGGGTCTTGTCTAGGTCCCACCCGTGGCTTCCTTCTTCAGGCGACCCTCCCTCCCTTGCCTTTTCTTCCTGGGCCTTCCACACCACCCCTCTCCCAGCCCTTCCGATGCCGGTCTCCAGCCCATCATTGGGGTTGCCTGAGGGGTGGACCTTCCCTGAGAACTCCGCCTGTCCTGGTAGTGGGACCAGGAAGCCACAGATGTGGAAACTGAGGCCCCTCAGCGAAGTGATACCATGCTGTCGCCTTAAAGCAAGGGCTCCCGGACCAGTTTCGCCCTTAGCGCGGCTCCCTCTGCCTGCCCCTCTTCTGTCCAGCTGCCACACAGCCCTCTACCCTACTCACCTCCTCTCCTGTGCCCTGGGGTGTCTTCTAACTTTCCGCGGCAACCTGGCCAAGCCGTCAGCCTCTTTCTGGTCCCCGGCCCGGCACTGCCTTCCCATCTCCTCCCACTCCCACCCCTTGGCCCCTCCAGCCCTCGCTCAGCTCCAGGCTCCTCCCCACTCTGTTAGGACCGGCCTCCCTGGCAGCACGCCCACCACAGCCTTCCCTCGCCATCCCTCCTTCCTGCCTCCTGACCATGACCCTGGCTGGAGCACTAGCAGCCCCCCCCAGGGCTAGGTGGCCCCGGGAGACATGAAGCAAGGCTGCCCTCCTCTCACTTTCCCCTGGCCCGGGAGCCCAAGCACCTGGCCCAGTCTCTTCTCCCGGAATGTGGGACTGCCCTGCCCCCTACCCTGCCTCCAGGTAGGGCTGCCCTTTTCTTAGGGCCCTCCTGGGTGACCAGTCCCCAGCGTCTGGAAACACATTTCAGGAAATTGTTCCCAGAAATACAGGCATCCTCAAACCAGATGAGACCTCAAGGAGTCATTTGATCCCTCCCCGGCATCCAGCACCCCAAAGCCACACTGAGAAGGAAGGAGTCATTTTCTGAGCCGACTCTGGTGTCCCACAACCTTTATCACCAGCACACATGTCCAGTCTTGATCCTGCATGTCCCATCCTTGATGGCAATAGACTCAAGGGTTTCTGTGGGGGTGTTGGGAGCCCTCAGGCATGGCAGAATGGTGCGGTAGAATTCATAAGGCCAGTGGGGAGGCAGGGAAAACTGTCCAAATATTGGTTCAACTCCTCGGCATCCTGACAAATATGGACCGGCTCGGGGACGGTGCGTGTCAGTAACCAGGGTGATCATGGCTCTGCCTCCAGGCCCCGTGTCAATCACCAGAAATAGAGGATCTCATTGAACTTCCAAAGCCCTGGAACTCCTGCTTCTTTCTCTGCACGGTGGGATCAGGAACCCTACCCAAGGGGTTGTAAGGATGAAGTGAGGAAGTATATGGAAAACGGCTGATGGCCCAAGTGGACAAAAAAGGGGGCCACATACTAAAACTGACAAGCTCAGGGGAGGCCAGCATGGTGGGCCCTATAAACTCAGAGACCGAAACTAACCTCATAGGATGGTCTGAACATACAAATTCCTAACTAAGAGCAGGTAGGTCATGGCAAGTCATCACGTCCTAGGCCTGTAGCTTCCTACACAAAGGTCAGTCTTTACCTTAAGTGAGCCTGAACCTGTTATCTTTTTGCATCTGAGATAACATACCCTCAGAATGTCAGAGTAATCGCTTTTTCCAGACCCCCGAGGGCACACCCACTGCACCAGAGCGGACCACAGAACCCCTCATTGTTACCTTGTTCCCTGAATATGACTTCTGTGTTCCTCTATGTGCTGTAAATGTCAATTATTAACTATCCTGTACCCACCAATGTGAAAGGAGTGTGTGTCTCTTCCTATTACTTTTTGATTTCTGGTTTAACCCTAAGAACTTCTCTTGACTTCATTGGACCCAATAATCATGCCACTTTGCCGCAATGGCTTTATATATGAGATGCATGCTTGTTAGACTATAAAGCTTCACAGACACCGACAGTGAGCAGCATCTCAGCCACGGGGAGGCATTGAGGATAGTTTAGATGCTGTGAAATGAAGTGCTTCTTAAGCGTTTTTAAAATTAATTTTATTTAATATATTATTTGTTGAATGTATTCATTTAATAGACTGTTACTATGTAGTAGTTAAAAATGCTATATTGCTGTAATTTATAATAACATCCACAAAGTAAGCCTTAAATCATGTTAAAAGAAACTCTCTTCTAATGTTTTTTTGTGAAGGCACACCAGTTCTGGGAACAGTGAGACTTCACTGGCCAACTCTGAAGGCACCACATTTCACTGTGACCTAGATTTGGTCTTGGAGGCAATCAGAAAGCACCGACTTGAAGCCTGGTTTACATTCTGATTCCTCCAAGTCACCAAGTGGTTTTACTCAAGAGGAGTCTGGGTAGAAATGAGCCAAGGTTAGATGTAGCATTTTTGTTGGTGGTGAACATGTTCAGATGGTTTTCATAAACAACAGCACACATCACTCACAGGAAACAAAACACTTGAAAATACACCTGGTTCTGCTAAATTGCGAAGACTTAGCAGAGTTTCTGTTTCGAATTCCCTTGTGTTTCCCAATCAAGCTTGACTTTTAGTAGGTTTTAAACCAATAATTGATACACATTGGCTTCTAAATCCTTCTTTTAAGTTGAAGAAGATAAGAAGATATAATCTGGAGTAGAAAAAGACAGCATTGTAATAATAGATGAGATTTGACCTTGAAAGGGTAGAAATGTTGATTTCTAGGTAATCGACATTTCTTTCCAGGCTGAGCTTTCTTTCCAGGCTGAGACACCAAGAAGATTTGTTGCAATGTTTCCTGGTAACATCTGGTCCCAAGACCAAATCACCAAACGGTGGTAAACACGGTTGCCAGGGAGTGGAGAGCTCTCCTCCCATGAAGAGTGTTTCTGGCCACATCAGTCCCCATCACAGCCAGAGGTTCCCTAGAGTTTTCTGCACTCCAGCTATTCTGGAATAATGTTCCAGATTTAAAAATACGTTTAAGGCACTGCTACCTACAACCAGAGTCCGTCAAGTGGGAGAGTTATAGACTGAAGTTTTCTTCCAAGTTCCTTGTTCTTTACCTCACATACTGACTTGAGCTTTTCTGTCAGAAAAAGTGGCATTTTCTCTCACTAAAAGTCCTGCCAGACTCCCAACGCCTGCTTAACAAACAGCAGCCAAGGGAACAGAGTTTGCAGTTTATCGGTAAACATGTGGCTTGTGGCTGCTGCCTAGGCAGCTCAGTGTGGTGCAATCAGATTCGCCTAGCCAATGGGTCTGCCTCTCACATTTCCTCATTCATTTGGTCCACACTTACTGAATACCTCCATGGGCCAGACACCTTTCTAGGGGCTGACTGTATGGTTGTTAGACAGGCCAAATCCTGCCTTATGTTGTGGTGGTAACTGGACAGAAGCCATGTAAATGAATGAATACCTAGTTTCAAGTAGGCAACAAGTGCTATGAAGAACATTAAAGCCAACTAGGGGCCTTGAAGGTGACGTAGGAGTGGGTGGTGGGATGAATGATGCCTAATGCTTGTTCAGGTCCTACTCCTGGATTCTGTGAAAGTGACCTTATATGGTGAAGGGGATGCAGATGTGATTAAGCTAAGGATTTTGAGATGGGGGAGATTATGTTGGGGAAATAGAATTAAGAACCAAATCTCCTGCCAAGTCTGAAAAGCTCCCCTCAAGAAAGAAACGTTTTATTATTGAGTAAGCTTTACGCCATGCACATCGCAGGCCATCCACTAGGAGATTACAAAGGCAGAAAGAAATCTCATGTGTTATTCAGCCCAGCAGATGCAATCCGTTACACACCTGTTCTCAAGATTAACCTCCACTGGTCCTCAGGTCACAGGACTTGACCATTTGTCACACAGAGTTCATCCTAGCTTCACCTGGTTACTGGGGTGACCATCCATGTGAGCTAATTGCCTTTATCCAGAGGAAAAACACACTTGTCTCCTTTTTATGACAGGAGGTAGTTTTGTAGCTTGGAGCCAGGTGTCCAGCCAAGTTAGGCTGCCACCCTGGCATGGGGACTGGGAGACAGGGCCCTATCTCCCTTGATATTTACATTTCAAAGAGAGGGTTCCAGGTCCAAGAGAGAGACAGTCCTGGCTTGTAAAGCTGGCAAGAGGCTTATTTATACATTCATTTCCAAGGGACAGAGAAAAATTCACAAGGACAAGCTTTCCAAGGAAAGGGTGGCGGTTGTGGGGAAAGCCTCCCTGCTTCTGCACCAGGGAGATTAAAAACTTGTCTTTCTTAGTTTGTATTTGCCCTTACAACTATCCAGGATTTTCTGGATGGCCCCTGAAGGTAATCACAAGTGTCCTGATAAGAGGGTGGCAAGGGGAGATTTGACCATAGCAGAGAGGAGGCAATGTGACCACTGAAGCAAGATGATACACCGCTGGTTCTAAAGATGGAGGAAGGGGTCCCGAGTCCTACATGGAATGCAGCTCTAGAAGCTGGAAAAGGCAAGGCAACAGTCTTCCTTTGAGCCTCTGGAGGGAACATGGCCCTGCTGACACCTTGATTTTGCCCCCGTGAAACTGATTTTGGATATCTGACCTCTGGATCCCAGGCAGACGAACAGCAACTCCAATGGCCCTAGGGTGGGAGAGAGCGAGTGTAGCTGGGGCAGAGTGTCCAGCAGGACCCTGGAGACAAGGGGCTAGACAGGCAGGCATGGTCAGTCTAGATGGAACCATAGAGGCTGTGACAGTGAGTGGTTTGCCACGTTTGCAGAATGTGAAGTGAGCCACCCTTGTTTAAAGGGGTCAGTCTGGTGCAAGAGACTGGACTCCACGGCAGCTATGCAGGGGCCAGCAGGGAGCAGTGGCCGGGAGAGAGGCAAGAAGGGGTGAGCAGGGCTTCAAGCCTTGGTGCACCCAAGCCCTGGTGCCTGCACAGGAAATCTGAGATCTCTACCTGGTTTCCTTTTGACTACATTCTTTTTCTTTTAGAAAAACAGGCTCCTGGAATTAGATATGCAGTAGAAAAGTGGTGCAGCAGTTTGGGGGATGACCTTTGATCCCAGTCTAGGGCTTCTCTTCCAGGGTCTGTCCTCGCCAGGCACTGGGCATGTGTCCATGCCTTTAAGGATATTTTTAGAACTTCTTAAGTAGGAGCAATTTGATCTTTTCCTGAAGAGTTTCCACATGGCCTAGCGAGACTCCTCTCAACCAAGGTGCTAGTCTTGGTCAGTCAGGGACTTACTCAGTTTGGGCTGCTTTCTCTCGGGGTTCTGATGCTGGGAGGGAGCATGGGATGGAAGGCTGTGTGAGCTCGTAGGAGTGACTGTGCCTGTCCGAGGCCCTCCCGGCAGATGTGGCTTCCATCAAGGTCAGCGTGGTATGTGCTTTCTGCCTTCTTCCCACACCACTCACAAACACCTCGAAGGAGCTCGTTGAGAGTTTCCATACCTGCCTTCAGGATGCTGTCTGCAGCAGGAGTTAACAATCTGACTTAACAAGTAAGTTCCGTTAGAATGAAGTTTTCTGCTCTTCTCTCTGCCCCTAGTCTCCACTTTTTCAACAGCCATCCATTCAGAAATTGTCATCATTTGATTTGATTTCATATTAAGTACTAACCCAAGAGAGATTTCTATTGCTAAGCTATGGTTAAAAGGCATTGTGCAAAAACAGCATGGGCCATTTCTGCCTGGCTCATGATCAAGCCAGCACCTGGCACAGTGGCAGATGGCGGACACTGATTAAATATTTGTTGGATGTATGAGGGAGATCTGGAACAGTCTAACTGCACGAGGTGGATAAGTTTTCCTTCTTGCAGATAAAGAGCTGCTTCTAAACAAGACCTGAGCATCTTCATAGAAGATTTCTGGAGATGTTAAAAATGAATCTATAAGTCATACAAAAACAAAAAATTTGAACAATGTATTTGTACATTTGTTCTGCCATTAACAATCATGTTACAAAAAGAATATCTAATAGAATGGGGGTAATTCACAATAGTGTTAAGTGAAAACACTAGAATAGATCTTTGCAAGGTATTGTCCTAATTATGTCAAGTATGCTTAGATAAGTATAGAAAAAACATCGGAGGACATATACCAAAATATTAAATGTATTTTACTCTAGGAGGAAAAAGTATGAGAGGTTTTAATATTCGATTTCCTATTTATGGAATAGATTCTGAAAGTGTTTTAAAAATACTTGCACAATTAAAAAATAAGTTTTTGTTGAAAAGCACACAAGTACATGAAATTGTATAATACTAGCCTGGAAAACCCAGGCCGTGTTGCGTTTCGTTTGGAAAGCCAAGGCCACCTGCTAGTAGGTGAGTCACGGGCGCAGGCTCGCACCTGCATCCGCACTCGCCAACCCAGCGAAATGCCCCCGAGCGAGAACGGCCCCGCCGCCCGCAGCCGCAGGCGCCAGAACGCCGGCTCTGGGCCCGTTTCTGACATAAAGGGCATTCCTTTTGCAAAGTTCACGCGGCCTGGCGAGCCGCCCCGGGCGGGCGGATGCCGGCGCGGCTCAGACCCCACGGCCCTGAGTCCGCAGCGCGGCCCAAGGTCAAGGCGGCGGCAGCGTGGAGGCGCGGCCGGGAGCAGGAGCGCCCCCCGGAGGGCCGGAGCGCGCGTGGAGCCCGCGGGAAGCCAGCGAGGCCGAGTGTAACCCGGTGACCAGTGTGGCCACGCGGTCGCCCGGGGACGCGCGTCCTCCGCAGGGACAAAGGGTCGGGAAACGTGAGCCCGCCCGTCCCGGAAAAGCCCGGCTGCGGTCGCCAGGGCAACGGGGCCGGGCCGTTCGCGGCCTTCCCCCGC